GACTGGAAAGCTGTTCTATCCATTCTTGCTATTGTCCTACCTGTATGGGTTGTAGTTTCTGCCTAAATAAATAACTGGCATTATTTTCAGAGTGACCTTCGTGCGTGCGTGTGTGTGTGTGTGTGTGTGTGTATATATATATATATATATATATATATATATATATATATATATATATATGTATTTGACTACTCACGAAGCCATGTTGCTGACGCCTACTCAAGCATATTCGTGTTTTTTTAACACTCACAGAGCCCATCTGCATTTTATACTGCAATTATGCTAAGCTGACCTTAGTTACAGTTTCTGGGAGAGCGCGCTTAATCTGTCATGGTCAGCAGTTTAAACAACACCAACCCCTCGGTCACGATGACTTGTGACTTCGTGCTAACACAACTATCGATGGCTTCCAAATAGTTTCGTCTCCCCAATTTCACTCACAAGGCTTAGGTCCAAATGTTAAGCTTGCTGGGATCACCTCCTCAGACCGATAATATCAAGAAATTATTTTCTTGACAAAGTGACTAATGTGAGATTCGAGCCAGAGTTTATGGCCGGAAAGCATGTGTGTGTGTGTCTGTATAACATGTTTTTATGACATACTACCAATATGTGGGCTTATATATACAATGCTTGTATGTATGTGTGTGTATTTGTATATACTTTAATAGTAAATATAACAAACATATGTGGATATATGTGTGTCCGTACATGTGACGAAGAAGCCCTCAAAGAATGTATGATGTTTGGTCACTTTGCCAGAATTTTGGAAGGTAGTCGAATATTTGAATATTTAAAAATAATTTTCCGATTTTCTGCAGTGAAAAACATTTTGTATTTAAAATTGAATTCACTCCTTACATTTACTTACTTGCTTGAAGAATAATCCCAATTTTTTAAGTCAGTTAAACAGTTAAAATTGGAAATGTTCATCTATTCCACATAATGTTAAGTCATTGGCTAGATGAAGACACTATTGCCAATAATCTCTTATTATGTGGAAGGTATTTCTACCGCACCCTGTATATAATGGTACTTTCTACAGTCTCCAAATTAAGATTTCTTTTTTTGAATCAATTAACTTTTCAAAGATGGTACCAAATTCCAAGATATTCGAAATGTGTGGAATGCATTTTCTTCAGGCGTATTAAAATCTCATTTCATAAAGTGATATTTTTACAATGACAGGCAATAAAACATTGGGACGTTTTTAGTCATTTCACTGTTAAAATTATGTAAATAAACTTTTAATTTTTACAATAAAGGAGGCTATATTTTATTAAGACCTTACTATTTCGGGTTTTCACATGTGGGTCTTTAAATTTATTTGTGCCAATTAGGATATATATATAGAAATTCAGGAGTTAGTTAATGAATATAAAAAAAGACCCGATCGCCCAACATATATTCATTTAAAACTCATTAAGATTTTAACCAAGCTATAAAAATGATGGCATATATGAAATTGATATTTTGTTAAGGCTTTAATGTTTCATATGTGAATCTTAAAACATATGTTTTAAATTACTTTTGTTGTACTCTACTCTTTCAAGATGTATGTTAAACTCCCATAATGGAACAATCTGACATTTTTGTAACAAAGGTACTTTCACCAGCTTTTGCTAGTCTAATGTAGATATTCTAGTTATCTCCCTTGCATTGGCAACGTTGAAAGTTACAGACATTACAATCAAAATACACTATAGGCCAAAAGTTTGGAGTAACCCTCAGAATTTAATAATTAGTAAGTTTCATACCTTTTCTGGTTTAATTAACTCCTACTAAACTAGCATTCTGAAAGTATTTAATCCATTGCCTTCCAATATTTAGAGAAAGGATTACCTAAAATTTTAATTCTGAAGCCCATGAACTAGCAAGTTAGATTAGACAATTAATTAAATTTTAAAGAAACTATGCGGTAATAGGTTAATTTCGTTATTAATATTATTGAGTATATGATAAAAAGCTTCAGGAAGAGAAAGTTTCTCTGATCTGAAATGAGTTAGCAAATTAGTTTTGAAAAACCCATACAACCTTCAAGTTTTAAGCGATTCTTCGTAATCCAGAGAGTAACCTCAAACCTTTGGCCTATAGTGGATAGGCTAATAAAGTTGGCCTAAAACATAGTATGATTAAACCTAAAATTTATATAGGCATATCAGCCGAAGCCATTGATTCACAGTTTTTTTGCTGTTTAGTTTTAATCTTCTGTGTTTTCTTGTCAGAGTCACGTATATGTTATGGACGGCATTTTTGTTTTATTTATTCACAATAAACAAACCAGATTTGCTTGCTTTAATTGAGAGATTGGTTTGGATCTCAAAATCGTAGAATACTTTATTTTTTTTTTTTTACCTACGATATTCTCATGTAATTTTTTTGAACATTTTAGATGCTTTTATATACTGATAGATTCTGAAAAGTTACCGGCTCGATTCATGCTGCAAACTCTTACTAATTAAATCATCAACTACTACATCTCATGATATGAATGCATTGAGCACACAAGAGCCACCTTGTCCCTCCAGCTCTCACGGTCTTGACAGAACGTCGGAACATCCTCTATAGTCAGATTGATCTAGTGCAATTGCTACCGGACGACACTCTTCCAACGGCTGCGTGGTCTGCAGATGGAGAGTCGAACTGGTAGATAACATTGTTAGGATTGTCATCAGGTCTTCGCAGGACGTGACCGAGCCAGTAAACAATGAACTGGGCGATGGGTGTGCAGAAGATGCCTGGCTGACTGTGACTCAGCACAGCACTGGACCAATGCACCACCTTCGATGATCCTGAGGGCGCGGGACACGGAGTCATAGACACGGAGGTCTTGAAAAAAGGCTACGTCTCGACGTCGTATAGTAGCACAGAGAGGACGGCGGTGTTGAAAATTTTAATTGACCCATCGTCAAAATTTATTTTGAAAGGGTTTGATCCGGACAAACACTTTTCAACAACCCTTGTTATTTATACATCTTTTTGTCCTTTTCTTTCATATATTATTTAGTTATTCTTCTAATGTTTAGCTGCTTTTTAATACAGAAATAAACTTAAATATATGTACAGTATTAGTATAGGTCAAGAGATAAGAGATTAGGCTATAAACATATAATAAGATTTATCGACATAACAATTACCAAATTTCTATAGAAACACTTTCATTTTGTTTGACACTAAAAGATTTCAGAGAAGAATTCATTATATAATCATAAAAACAGTTAACTACGGATTTACTGTACTCTTCTCTGGTAGCGAAGTAAATGATTTAAAAAAGTGTATGAGGACGATCAGATTTCCCATCTTTATACTACGAGTCTTATATTAAGTTCGTAAGTCCTATTTCTGGTGGAATCGGCGAACCAAGTTCAAATTCCGGTTTAGTCTGCTGCGTTCAATGTTGCACAAATGCGTTTGGGAAACGGCATTTGTCCGAAATCCATCTTTTCTTCCTTTAATCTTACCCCTAGCAATGGGTTAATTAGCAGGGCAGACTGGGATCTCTAGACATAGCTGGTAGCCAATCTAAGAGAAATTAAATTCTAAATTCAAATCTGTGAAGGAGGCAGCGGGAAATTCATTTACATGAATTCTTAGCAACTCACAGATAATAAATAGCTTAATCTGTAGAGAGCCATGATCGTCTATGTCTTGAAGGGATATGGCATTATGAGAGATTCTGACATTAAAAGAAAATATTTTGAAATTACATGGCACAAAGAGAGAGAAAAAGCTAGTTGTATGAGTATGTGTGCGTACTCTCACACAGACTTATATATATATTTATATGTGTGTGTGTCTGTGTGCATGTGTGTGTCTATCTATCTATCTATCTATCTATCTATCTATATATATATATATATATATATATATATAATTGGATTGATGTGAGTTTGTGACCCTGGGTGTCACGTTCTCTGCGATCATCAGAGAGCCTGACACTCAGGGTCACAAACTCACTTCAACGCAACTAAATATTTTACATCTATCACTGATATTGAGCACTTTCCAATAAGTACCGCGCATATATGTATAATATAATATAATATAATATAATATAATATATATATATATATATATATATATATATATTTGTGTCTTATCTTATTTAAAACACATTATACATGTACACGTCTTAAATGCACACATACATATATATATATATATGTATATAGAAACACATACGCACACACACACAGACATATATATATAATGGGAGAGGGAGAATGATTTTCTAAACGTAGCTTAGATGTGGCACAAGACCAGAGGTATCGGGCGCCCAGTGAGGATCGAACTCACTTTTTAGTCGTAATTGATCTAGCGGGACAATCTTGCTAACCATTGATTAATCCACGTCGAAGTGCCTTACACACATACGCGCTTATATATATATATATATATATATATATATATATATATATATATATATATATATATATATATATATATATATATATAAGGGATAATAGATACAGAAAGTGGGAGAAAGAAAGATAGAAAATATTCTTAATTTTTTTATCATATAGAAAATATATTATTAGTAACCTGCCTTTTAATCTATTTTGAAATAGTTTCTGGTAAAAGCAAAAAATGGTATAAAATGAAAATAAAATTTATAATTAAGAAAAAATTGAGTTTAAATCTTTAGATGCAAAATGGCTGCTTATCATAAGTCCGACTATATTTTCATAAGCCAATTGACGCACACACACATACACATACATACATACATACATTCATACATAGTATACACAAGCACACTCATAGACATAGTCATACATACACATATACATACAAATGAGGTATGTGATCCGGTAAAATGAAACGTACAATACATTTAAAAAATGTCAGCTACGTAATATCTAAAATATTCTTTTTCGATAAAATATAGAAGAGAATAGGGATTCCTTTCACAGGAAACCTAAGCGGAAGACTCTACCATTTTTTTTTAGAATGTAATGACATTGTTTCGTCGAGAGACCGTTGATTTAAGCATAGAGAACTTATATTCTGCTCTCCCGGTCCGGGTCATCCTCTCCTTGAATATAAAAGTCTACAGTTCTCTCTTCGTGAGAATCTTCATTCTTTTCTGTGTTGGCACCACTGGTATCTTTGGCGAGTTCTTCACATTCGTTTTTCTCGTAGTCCTTTCTATGTTTATCTTTTGATCGTCTTTCCGACTTGGAACTCGATCGGTCACTCTTTCGACGTCGAGATGAACTGATGAAAAGAAAATGCGAAAAAGTCCATTAGTAAAATGTACTCAGTTCAAGACAAAGACGTTTGCCACATCAACTTACTATCTATATGAAATGAGAACGAATCGAATATAGATTCCAACGTTCGTAACATTAATTTAAAAGAGGGATCAATCCAAAAGTAAGAGCGGTATTCTTTATTTTAGGATAATTACATCAACATGAGAATAAAAGCTACATAATTGCAATCATGTTTCGATGTGTACCAACACATCTCATCAGGCCTTAGTAAATGACTGGTTAGTAGACGATTTATTGAAATTTAAAACCACATACAACCTCTTTTCACGCGAAAAAAAAAAAAGAAGAAAAGAAAAAGAATAAGAAAGAAAGTCTAATTTTTTAAATTAGTATTTACAATAATTTTCAAGTTTAGCACTTACCAATTAAGTAAATCAATTTATAAAAAGTTATTCTTACCATCGTTTGATAATGAAACGGAACTTTGTATTTTAAGTTTAATTTTTATGATTTAATTTGAATTGAAGTGTAAGTTTCGAAACATGGGAATTACGGTGTTGCGATGATTACATATATTTAAAAAAAAACAAAAAAAAAACAATTATAATATTATGCTCTACAGTTGTATTAAGCATTTTAAAAAAAAATAAAAATAAATGCTAAAATCCTGAATTATAAATCTCATTTTTTTTTCTTTTTATTTTATATATATATATATATATATATATATATATATATATATATGTTCTATCGCCGGTAGCACAACTCTTTCATGCACGATACAATCGTTAGGTGCTGATTTTAATTGACAGCTGCTCATTTCAATCAGCACTTGTTGATTGCATTGTGTATGAAACTCAGAATTGTGTTACTGATGAGGAAAAAATATATATTTATTATTAATTTAAATTTTATCGCTGTTATTATCAAACACTATTTTATTATCACCAGCACTCAATGTGAAGAAAGACTTCCATTGGTAAATGTTTAAAGTTCTTTTGTTCGTATCGTTAGTTGGTAACATTTATATTTTGCACCTCAACAATATTTCGTAACAAAGAACACTGAAAACAAAAAGAAAGAAAAAAAAAGTCTACCGTGAATTTTCTGAATTAATTGTAGGATTCTCTCCATCTTTGATTACTTGAAGCCAAATTGCTGTTTTGTTGACCTCTTCGGAAATATTGACCCGATCCAAGTCAAAATTAGACAAATGGCCACCATATTTTTCGGCTTGTTTCTCATGTTGTATCTTCACTTCCATTAATTTCTCATATTCTTCTGGTTCTAGGAGGCTGTCACCCTGTGCAGAATATATAAGGTGTGGTTAGTATGATCGGAGCTGGTCTAGGCAAGTGATAGTTCTTCATTGTCAAGATATTAGAATAAAATAGTATCAACATTAAAAGCAACCATGAAGCTCAGTGAATTATCTACATTGGATAATAAGAAGATAGATATGTATACATATATGTTTTTTTTATGCAGAGGTAATAAAACTTGGATGTCAATATTGCAAAATAGACTGAATTAGAAATAAATACAAGACTATAAGATGAATACTGAATATGCAAGAAAAATGCAAAGAAAGAAAGAATGAATGAATGAATGAATGAATGAATGAATGAATGAAGAGTTTTGGAAAAGAACGAGATAAAGAGAATCGTCCAAAAGAAAGAAAGCCAGTCAGAAAATTTCTTGATGGTTTAGAAAAATAGGATGAAAGGGACAGAAAGAAAGAAAAAAGAAATAAAGAAAGAAAGAAAACATCTCCATAAGGTATTAATTATGCAGATGTAGGAAAATATTCGGGTAAAAAGAGAAAAAGAATAAAAACAGAAAGAATCTCGGAAAAGAAAAGAGGAAAAAAGAAAAACTGTAGATGAATGAAGAAAGCGAATCCGTAAAATTCGTGTAGGTTACGAAAATAAAAGGAATGGAAATAAAAAAAAAAGTTATTTTGAAAAGTAAGAAAGAAAAGAGAGAGATAGAGAATTAGAGAAAGAGAGTCAGAAAGAAAGAATGTTTAAGAAAAGAAAGACCGAGAAAAAGAAACAATTTATTAAAAAAAAAAGAAGGAAGAACATAAATAATGAGTGAAAGATAAATGTAAAAATATATATTTATAAATAATAAGTGTACTAAATATAAAAAGAGGGTGAGGTAAAAGTTGCACACCATAGGCCTGATCTATTAAAAGTATAATTACACATAAAAATTTGATTTATTAATTGTTTAATTGTAGAAGTGAAATCGGTCAGTTGAGATATTCAAAATGGATGAATATTTTCTGAATAGTTCCAGAGATCTCCAGCTGTATCGATTGCAGCCCAACACTCCCATGAGTTTTACATTTCCAGAACGTGGATTGCTTTCAGCGGATCCTCGGCAATGTTTGAATAGTCCGTCCAATAATTTTACTGAGCTTTGCACATTGGATATTCCCCGAAAGGTAACTTAACCTTTCGTATATTTCCCCGTGGTTAAATGTCTTAGTTTGAAGCAAAACTTATATTCATATTCACCATGAATGAGACGGTCACACAGTACACAAGCTCATTCAGTGAAGTGCTACTGTTGGTAGACAGACCGTTAAATTAGAATTATAGGGCTTCTAAAAATGGCAATTTTTTTATAGATTGTAACTGGTCATATTAATGTTCTTGATAATGATTAATGATGACCGAATGTACCCGAATTAAAGTTTAACGAATTTTGGATACATTTTTTTTAATTATTTCATCTCAATGCCACCTAGTAGAAATTTTGTCAAAAATCTTGAGATATAGAGCAGGAGCACAAGACCAATGTATGAACGAATGGTAGATTTATAAATGTACATGATGGATTCTGACGGAAAAAAAAAACTTTCTGGCACAACAACATAGTGAACCAAATTTCCTTGCAGTAGATGTAGCAATTGATTCAATATAGTCTATTGATCTGGACAATGTTTGCATATAAGAAAAATACAATAAACAACTTAATAGAATTACTTTGTCAGTCATTTCTAATAAAACATGCATTAGATTGTTGTCGAAATACAGAACTATATATATATATATATATATATATATATATATATATATATATATATATATATAGTTTTCTGCGTGTGTTTAAATAGGTTCTAATAGAGCTGTGGTCAAATAGGTGTAACGTAAATTTGATTTTTTTTATTCGGGTCAACTGGGATAGTGTATTTTTTTATAATATTTCTAAGTGAATATTCATCTTGTTTGTAGTTAAACAGGCCTACGTTACATGTCCTATCTTGAAGGTTAAATCAGATTGCACGCAGACAGCTTTTATGGAAAACATCCAGCTGGCGTATATGGTACCTGAGCCATACAAAAGGATGGCAAGTACAACAGCTCTGTATACCTGAATTTTCGTATCCAGACGAATACCCCGCTCATTCCATAAGCGATGGCGAAGTTTGCCGAAAGCACTGGTAGCCTTAGCAATCCGATGCATGATTTCATCATCTAAACTTCCACTGTAGTTGACTTTGCTACCAAGATAGGTGAAAGACTTTACATAGTTCAGGGCTTTGTCTTCTACTTTCAATGGTCTCTCTGGAAATTTGTAGACTGGTGGCTTTTGTTTCTCACCACAGAATTGCTTCGGAGTAGGACAAGGTTGGTGCACTACTTCAGTTTTCTTTATGCTAAGTGTAAGACCAAAAACTTTACATGCAGCAGAGAAACGATTTAGATGTTGGGCCTCCTCAAAGTATGTCGTAACAAGTGCAGCATCATCAGCAAACAACAAATCACGAATAATTTGCGTACGAAGGTGGGTCTTGGCTTTGAAGCGCTGATGATTGAAGAGACCACCAGTGAAAGTGAAACTTGACGCCACTCTCTGTGTCTGCGAATGCATATTTCAGCTTCACCGAGAAGAAAATTATCACAGACACACCTGGAACCCTTGTTTTTGTAGAGGTATTTCATACAGGCGTCTTTATAATCCTGTGGGACATAGCCTGCCTTCCATATCTCCACGAAAAGGAGATGTAACTTTTCTACCAACTTTTGGCCACCATGCTTATACACAGAAGGTGGAATAGGACTAGGTGATTTTCCAGATGAGATTTGCTTGATGGAGTCATTTACCTATATAGGTAGGTTCAAAAGACAACTCCGGAATTTCTGGATTTTGCACAATTGATGTGATGGCTTCCTCATCAGTAACCGAGGTGGTGTTTAACACAGTTTCGAAATGCTCTTTCCAGCGATCTAAAATCTCTGACTTATCTGTCAAGAGAGTTTCACCATCTGCTGTGGAGATTGGAGCAACACTACTTTTCTGAAGACCGAAAATGCTCTTGATGCTAGATCCATTCTGACTGAAGCTTCTTGGAGTTCAGTGGCCTTTTCAGGCCACCAACGCTCTTTCAACTGCATATTGCGAGGGCCGAACTTTGTGGCTATTATAATTTCAAATTAATATTTAGATAAAGTTATTACTTTAGTGATTTACTTAACGTATTAACGTATCATTTTCATCTTTATTGCTTCTAAAAGCCTCTGTTATAAAAGCATAAATACGTTTGACCGATACATAAAAACTCACCTCTTCTTCGTCTAAACCGTTTTTTCGTTTCTCTCTATCTTCCTTTTCTCGTGTCGTCGCTTCAGGCATGATATCGTCAAGCCATTTCAACTCTCTTTGGGTGAAAACACGATCCATGGCTTTCCGAACGAAGCAAGTCGCTAGCACCTAGGAAAAGTAAGAAAATTAAAAACTAAACAAAAATGTATGAAAATGTTTTGTAAATGAAGGGAAAGCTTCGTTGTCCAAAATAAAGATCCGTATTTATATTGTTCACCAATACTGCATACGAATTCGTCTAATCGGTTATTTGAGTAAATGCTACCTAAAGTAATAAGGCGTTGTACTTTTATAGTAAGGTTAATATCCAACATTTTTTTTGATAGCTGGGACCCTAACAGGTGCTACCACCCCGGGTCAGGGCGGACATAAGAACAACAGTAATTAAAATCCTCAAATCCTCTAATCTCCCGATGAGAAGAATTGTTGCCGGATCTAGTTTATCGTCATACGCAGGACAATTTATATATATATATATATATATATATATATATATATATATATATATATATATATGTGTGTGTGTGTGTGTGAGAGAGAGAGAGAGATTTAGAGGATGGGTGAAGACCAGTGTTGCCTGTTACTGTTAAAAATAAGGTAGAGTAGACGAGCAACAAAGGTACTACTTCTACCCAATGCCCCCTATACACATAAAAAGTTTTTTTTTTTATATTGGATGTCGGAGTAAATAGTTCGAAATTAAATGTGTCAATATATTGCGATATATATTTTAAATAATATTAATAAAATAAATTAAAGAAATATAAGATTATTATTAGAATATTTTATAATTATTATTATAAATGTTGTTGTTTTTATATATGTGTATGTGTGTGTATATATATATATATATATATATATATATATATATATATATATATATATATAAACTATTATAAAGTATAAGAGAAAATTTTATTATTATTATTATTGTTGCTGTTGCTTAAAAAAAATTGAACGATACAAATAGAAGAAATTGACTAGCTGTAAAATAGAAAATGTAAAATAGAAGAAATTGACTAGCTGTAAAATAGAAAATGTAAAATAGAAGAAATTGACTAGCTGTAAAATAGAAAATGTAAAATAGAAGAAATTGACTAGCTGTAAAATAGAAAATGTAAAATAGAAGAAATTGACTAGCTGTAAAATAGAAAATGTAAAATAGAAGAAATTGACTAGCTGTAAAATAGAAAATGTAAAATAGAAGAAATTGACTAGCTGTAAAATAGAAAATGTAAAATAGAAGAAATTGACTAGCTGTAAAATAGAAAATGTAAAATAGAAGAAATTGACTAGCTGTAAAATAGAAAATGTAAAATAGAAGAAATTGACTAGCTGTAAAATAGAAAATGTAAAATAGAAGAAATTGACTAGCTGTAAAATAGAAAATGTAAAATAGAAGAAATTGACTAGCTGTAAAATAGAAAATGTAAAATAGAAGAAATTGACTAGCTGTAAAATAGAAAATGTAAAATAGAAGAAATTGACTAGCTGTAAAATAGAAAATGTAAAATAGAAGAAATTGACTGGTTGTAAAAACGAAACAAAATAACGTTATAATTGGGAGCGCATTTCAAATAAAATTGAAATTCCGTTATTTTGCAAAACGTTGGTATGTAATTTTATTATCTTCTTTTTTCTTTCTTTTTTTTTCTTTTCTGTTTCCATCCGGCACTACCGTAACCAAAGTGGAAAAAACGTCACAATTACTCTTTCGCAAATAACTGCATATTTGAGCCTCACAAATATTGAAAAAACAATCATAAGTATGAATACATGTCATTATTTAAAATTTTTCCATTTCACTGAAGCAGGTGTTAAACACGTGAAAGCATTATCATTTCATATCTTCTTTTTCTTTCTTTTTCAATATTATATGTTCTTTTTTTTTCACACTAAAATCAGACAGCGTTTCTGATATAACTTTTTCTTCCGTCTTTCCTCACAGGCAAAACGGAACCATCTGAAGCAATGACAGGGCCTAAAGCACGTGTAACCTAACTTACTAACGAACAGAGAAACAAACAGAAGTATTATAATTATTATTTTTCAATATATTCATTTAATAGAGTATTCATAGCTGTTTTGCATCCGGGTGGTTTCGTTAAATAGAGGAATGTTTTCCCCACCTTATCTTTCCAGAAGATAACTTTGAAAAGACATAAATCCATTTCTTCCTGTGCTATGTGCACTGTTGGTTCTCCTGAAAAGGTCTTATCACTGGTTTGTCACGATAGCTCTCGGAAGAAATCACAATAAGCTTAGAAATACTTTCTCGTTAATGCGCGAATGTAAATCAATGCTATCTATTTCGGATTATTCGGAGATCACCATGATAACCAAACTGCTTTTCTCCTGAAGATGTCACGGAGGTCGGGGAATCCCCAGTATTACTCTGGCGATGTTATAATTAATAAAAATAAAACAAATAAAAACAACTTACCATAATCGGAAATACAATCGATACGGATTTAATTGTTTTAATCACCCACAAAACAACTAAACAGACAATTTGCATTAATGTGAAGAGGTGAACCCTCTTGATTGGTACGTGGCGCAGGTACATGTGGTCCGGTTGATATTTGGACGGCATAAAAACTAGCAGCACACGGTCAACCAGCTGAAAAAGTAAAGAATGTAGGTGAACGGATTCTATTTAGATTGCTTCAAGAAATAATGGTTTTCATTGCAATAATTTCAGAATATAGTAACTCCCCAACAATCCGGCCCCATTATAGCCATACGGTTCTGTTGCAACGACCTGATCGCTAAACGAACTCGTTAAATGAGAAATTTTATATGAAAGCCATTTCAGGCATACTATGTACAAAAGGTATTAGAATTTATCAAAAAATTATATATGTTAAATAAATTGTGAATAGTCTGGAATGTTGTTTTTATTTTTTATTTAATGAGATTTTATAGATGGTTGTAAATCTGGGAGGCGTTAAACAGCATTTTAAGTAAATTGGTGTAATAAAGAAACTTGACAATCGAGTGATTGAAAGTTTGATATAAACTTAGAATTTTTATCCGAATCTCTGAGATGAGGAATTATAATGTTTTATGAAACGGATTGCCAAACAAATAGTTACAATGAACATAAATAAAGCGCAGTGTACATGTATCCGTCCGACCGTCCGTTTTTCGTTTTCGGTGAATCATAAAAAAATCTGAAGTAACAATTAAAAATAACTCATTTAAAGTTAAATTTAAATATCGACAAGAGTGAAAAACAAACAATTCTTTATTAAAGATTTAACATTGATTTCACTTCTCGTCGCAAGTGCAATTGATATCGTCTAATTAAATCGTAATTAAAACTTAAGCGGGGCACGGTACGTTGCTCATATATTTTTTTTCTTTTTCTAGCACGCGTACTGTAACGTATTCGAAATATTACATCGTTCGGTTTCCTAACGCTTTTTAAGAGTGACTTTATGTGAAGTGATCATAAACAATGGTGATTTTAGAAGAAAATAAAAATTGTGCGCAAAATAAATGTAAACAAATTATGGAGATCGGTTGCGTATACGAAGAAAGATTATGCCGAATTAAGGTATCAAATAAAGATAAAATAATTTTTATTATTTCTAAATTCTTATAAATTTTATCTACATCGGACGCTGAAGGTAAAAGGCCGAAGGTCCAAAAGTCTTCAGCAATAGCTAGCTTAAAGTCCGCCCGAAGGATGGCTTCTAAGCTAGTTAATAATAATTTGTAGCTCTTCTTTACGGCTAAATATTTGATTACATGACATGATATAAGTACAGAAATCTTTGCTTGGTCTGGGATTAGAATGGAATTAGTAATAGTGTGTACCCTAAATCCTTCATAAAAAATGGAATTAGTAAATCTTAAACATTTCAAATAGTTCAGTGTTTGGATCAGATTTAATAAAGGAGAAAGGAAATTGAACATAAAAAGGGTTTCGCTAGGTCTAATTTAGCCCAGCGTCACAAACTGTCACGAAACCAAAACATTAACCTAAAAACTAAGAGTCATCTTCTTAAATAGCCTCATCAGCTCAAGACTTTCATATGCATACCATACATGGCGTGAAACCAGTTTAGAAATAACTACGCTTTAGGCATTCTCAGATCAATCGTTAAAAATGTCTTTGAGCAAGTGAAGCGTATTGACCTCATCGAGGACGACCCTTCATCGGATCTCGTGGGTTTTCGTTAAACCACATCGCTTGAGGACTTTCAACTGCATTCACAACATTTCGGCCGTTATACGGTCCGGCCTTCTTCAGGTGATATACGTTCAATTGTTTTTATAGATGCGTTTGGGCATATAATCCAGCCAATCACGTTTTATTTTTTTCTGTTTTTATCACCACTGTCATCAAGTATCCAACAATGTGATAATATGCCTATAAAGGCGAAATTTTGTAAGATGGGGGACGTAAATTTACTGTTGATGATCAAAGAACCCTCTATACACTCTCGTCTTAGTAAATTGCCTTTTCTCCCTTTAAATTAAAGAAACATTTTTGCCTGCGGGGAAAGACGTATCGAGTGTGCCGTCTGGCAATAGATCCTTTTTGGGTTCATCAAATCTTTTATTTGAATTCCTCGAGGTCTCTCACATTGCACTTTCTGTGCCAATCACCACAGGTGACAGAGCAAATTCTTCCTCGTCCCTGGGGAATATGTCACTTTCCTAATCATTTTCCTAATATTGTTCTAGTATATAAAAAAATTATATATCGTCTTCTCTAATAATAACAATAATATAAGCGAAGGACAACTGTCAAAACACGTAAAAATAACTAGAATTTAAGGTATAATAAGGCTGGCAGAATTTTTACCAAAAATGTTTAGTAAAAAACTAGAGCGACAATATTCACTAACTTAGTAAATGATGTTCAGTGAACTTTTCTCCTTAACCGATTTCAGCATTTCCCATAATACCGCTCGTCAGTTTCAGATAAAACTACGGAGTTATTAACACATGTCATATTTATGCACCACAAAACAAACGTTCATCATAGACTTCAAATTTAAATTATGAAATACGTACCACGGTTTCGTAGTACGTATTTCAAAATTGCGTTCTTTAAGAACGAGTTCGCTTTTAAATATTTAGAAACAGTTAAAATGCCCGATATATATTTTAAAACACGTCAAACTCACCAACAATCTCTGGCATGCTATTTATTTCAAATTTGAAGACTAACATCTCTTTTATTCACAAGATAGAAAAACAGCATGATTAATTGAAAAACTGACCACAACGTTAGATTTTTAAGACGAACCACCTTAAAAAAATAAAGCACTTACTTGCATTCCTTTAAGAGCGGCAACACCCATGTAAAGAAATACACCGTACAAAACGGGCATTGGTATAACCTGAAAAATGAAGAGAATAACATAAATCTATGGAGGGAAAGCCGTGACTTAAGCGTCTACTGGGACTTCAGCTTAACCCAAAGCTCAAGTTGAACTCGTATATACGATCCAATACTGAAAATGTTGGAGAAATTGTCGTTTCCTTCTACCACCCAAGTAAGTATCTTTACAAGACCCAGATAAGACAGAAAAGTTATTACAGCTGTTATATATGGGCAGGGCCTACCCTGTCTTCACTTTTCTGTCTCGATAGAGTCCAAAAGCGTCTACGCGGACTTGTGAGTGATGAATTATTTCCCTCGCTACAGCCCCTAGTCACTAGTACAAGGGAGATAATACATAGGTAGTAAAACGCTACAGACATTAAAACAGTTAGAGACAAAAGCCTATTAATACACTTGGGGTATATTTTCGAGATCTAATCAAAATGTATCAGGACTGGTGCTATAAAAAGAAAACTACAGCACATATCAATTCGGCATTTAATCTCCTTCGAAGTAGTCCACTTTTGAAGCCACACACTTTATAAAGCGTTGTTTTCATTGATGGATTCCTGGAACTTTTTGGGGGGCAAAGCGAGAATCTGCCTCGTTGCATTCTCTTGGATTTCTGCGAAATCTTGAAATCTTATTCCATTCAAGTGGTATTTGGTTTTTGAAGAGGAAAATGTCGCGGGGTGAGATCTGGGGAATATGGTGTCTGATTTGAGAAATGTTGTAATTGGCCAAAAACTACTTCACAATCCATAGTCCCTGATAGAACTACTGTGGGACAACCACACTCTACACACATTCCTTCAAAGCACTGTTATAAACAAGGGAAGCGAATAAGAACGTTACAACTTAGTTTGAACGCGCGACAGAGTTCAATGTAAATCTGTTCCAAGCAGCTTTACTCTGTATACCTTAACTCCGTTACCATAGTAACAGTCTCGATAATTTATATCAGATCTTGTATTGTAAGATAAATGAGCAGATATTTGCCTATAATGTATTTGCTATGATCAGTCATGATCTCTTTTGGTAGTAGAGTCAACGCCCAGCAGCTGGTTTATTGTGTCAGTTGATGCAAACCATTATATCAGATTGATGAGAATGATAATGATATTAAGAATAATTTCAATAATAATAATTAATGTGAAGATAATGTAAAACTTAATTACTTTCTATAGATTCATAGAGAATCTAATATCATATACTTAATAAATTAGCTTCAATTAAAATCTGCTAAGAGACACCTGAAATGATGATGTACATTCAGTTAAATCTATTTTGATTTGATGAGCTTCATCTGGTAAAAGTATTGCATAGCTTTTTAATTAAGTTTACTTAAGCCATAAAAAATGACGGCATTTAAAACTATATTTCTAATTTCTTACTATCATTAGAAATTTTTCATATGCTAGTCTTTAAATATATTTTCCACTATGTAATTGCTGTAATCTACTTTGTTATGGAGTCGGACTTTTCACCCCGCAGTTTAATATCTTGGAACAATCAACTATTGTCTAGCAAAAACCCTGAGAGCTCAAGTCGCTAGAGTAAGGGGCATAACCCTGTTACAGCAAAACGTTTCAAATGACGTATTTAATTAATTTGGCAGTTATATTTTCTTAATAACATTACGTTACGCTGCATTTTCATATGTTCAGCATTTCTTGAAAATTAAACAAAAGATATTTTAGTAACGATAAATAATGTCATAGAGTATTAGTCCTGAAAATGGGATCGCCGTGCCGAGTTCAAATTTCGGCCGAGGCTGTTGGGTTCAATTTCGCATAGATACCTTTGGGAAAGGTATGAATCTATCGTGCAACTAACAGAACGATCTAAGCTCTATTTCTTTGGTTAGTAACCAATGTAAAAAAGATAACTATGAATTCAAAATCTGCGACGGTTGTAACTGAAATAACCACTTGTCCGCCCAACGCTTAAAATTTCAAAAATACGCTGATCAGCGGCGCCGAATCAACAGCAGTCTGGTTGGTGAAGGTGGTTGTAGTGAAATATAACAAATGATAAGCTGTGGCCCTGAATGAAAAGAAAACAAACGCACACAATAGGCCAAAGATTTGGGACCAAAGTTTAGATCTCGAAGAATCCCCTAAAAATTGAAGGTTTCGGGACTTTTTCAAAACAAATTTACTAGCTAACTTCAAACCAGAAGGGGCTTTCTCTTCCTGAAACATTTTATTACATATCTAATAATAATAACAATAATAACGAAATGAAGCTATTTTAAATCTTTAGCCCCTTCTTGCCTAATCTACCTTGCAGGCAAATGTCAATCTTAGGTTTAGTGTAATTAAAACATTAGGTAACACCCACTCTCTAAAATATATGACACCATCCCCTGAAGGGTTAAATAGTTTCGGTATCCAAACTTAGTAAGAGTTGAGTAAACCAAAGAAGGTATGAAATTTACCAATCGCAATTTGACAGTTGTTTTAACACAATACCCAGAATTCTCCCATCTCGATATAACGGACTCTTTGGTGACATAAAATGTATTAGATACAATGTATATGTACATGTGCGCGTGCGTGTACGTCTGTGTGCGTGTACGTCTGTGTGTGTTCGTGCATTGCGTTTTTATGTATAGATTTGTTACTGGGTATGCCAAATTGTATATTACTGTTGTGGCCTGTTATGGGCCAGAAAGAAAGACACGGAAAGAAGAAGGTAGGTTAAACAAGTGTATTGAAATAACAGAACATATATACAAAATAAGGGTGTTATAAGTAAGCAGAGAGAAGTGTCCGTTCGTACTGTCAGATTACACTGCGTTCTGACTGTCGATATTTAACAGTCCCCCCCCCACACACACACACGGGATGTATGAGGAGGTTTGGAATCTCAACCTGGATCATAACCAAAGAGGCAGCTGGGAACAGGCCAGGAACAACACATTAACTAGGTACACCAAAGCTTGTCTAACCTAACCAAGGGAAGGGCTCCGCAGGAAACCACCCCGATGTGACGTAGGTTGACCGAAAAGAGAAAATCAAGACTAGCCCCGCTCCAACGAACCAAGCTCGCCTCAGTCACCCACCTTTCGCGGAAGACTGTCAAATGCAAGCTAATCTTCATCTTGAGCTGATACTCAAACAATCTAACCGCAAGCAGGACGACTTGTCGCGGTTAATCTTGGCTCCTGTCACCTTTTCGTACCTATCAATCGCCTTCACTACCACCTCAATGTCGCTGCGGGACGACACGAAAGCAAATACGTCATCGGTATACGCAGAAACCCTGGTTCGAGCTCCTCCAGGAACGGCGATTCCACGTAGGGCCGGCTTGCACGCCCTGTCTCAGCCGGCGAAGGAGAGGCTCCAACGCCAAAGCATAAAGTAGGGGCGACATTGGACAACCCTGACGAACCGACCTAGACAGCGCAAAAGCGCCCGACAGCACTGGGGGAGCGAAGTTGTTTGTGGTCTCAATACCTTTTACGTTTAGGATTGAAAACTATTAAATCAATTGCTTTTTTTTTTTCTTAGAATGGCACATTTCGGAGGCCACTAGAGGGGTCGGAATATCGAAAGTGTCGTATATGACATCCATAACTTTCCTCAGGAAGCCCGCTATCGTCAGTTAGGCGTTTCCTAACTTGGTTGAGATGTATTTTATGACCCTTTATAATAAATATACCATGTTCCCAACTCTTTTTTCGATTGTATCCATCTCCCAAAAGGATTTGTTGTCTTTGAAAATTCTGAAAAAAAAAAAAAAACTTTTTCTCCGGGGTTATATTGTCCTGGAGGTACGATGCTTGTTCTTCCTGGCTTCGTCCGTTTCGGGAGTAATTTATCGTAAAGGAACCGCATCCGACGTGCGAACATCACTTCGGCTGGAGATTGTGAAGCTGGTGTTTTGTTATTAGGTGTAATTCTGTTTACTTGAAGAAATTGTTGAAGGGCTTTTTCAGTTGGTGTTTTCCTAGCTTTTTTTCAAAGCTCTCTTCAAAGTATCCATAAATCTCTCAGCCTGTCCATTAGACCTCGGATGGTACGGAGCGGTTAGTGATGTGTTCGATCTGATATGGTTCACAGAAGTCTCTAAAGTCTCCAGACGTAAACTGACTTCCATTATCAGACACTAAGGTGTCCTCTACTCCGAATCTAGCGAACAGTTCATGTAGAAATTTTATAGTAATTTCTGTAGTTGGGTTTTTACATCTGTGTATTTCGGGCCACTTCGAGAAACTACAATGTTGACTACAATGAGGTAGTAATATCCTTCTAGAGGGCCCGCGAAGTCAATGGGAATTCTAGACCAAGGTAGATCCGTTTTTGGCCAGAAATTGAATTTAATAGGAGGTGCCTGACATAACATTTACCATTACTACACTATTGATATTTACTAAGCATAACTAAGTATGTCCAAGTCTACTTCATTAGTAATGATCTGCGAGATTTTTGCAAACTTTTGATCTATGGTGAGCCACCACTAAGTAGGATTATATATAAATCTTAAGTCGATAACCGTTAATAATGATTATTGACTTAATATTAATTATTATAAATATAATGCTTAATATTATAATAAATTATAATAAATACTCCAGACAGGAAAACCTCTGCTGCCTACGATGTAAACTCAGTATCACATGAAGTGACAAATTTACCAACACCGCTGTGCTGAGACAAGTCGACTCCCAAAGCATCGTCTTCAACGGCAGTACATCGAATGAATGACGGCCGCATACCAAAAGACATCATGTACAGCGAGTCTGTCACAAGGAAACTGTCCAGTGGGCTACCCTGTACTACGTTTCAAAGACCCTGAATAGGTGAGAATACCTGTCAGATGACGGCAGCAGCCGGCGCCATACTGTTCAAGAAGGAGTCACGAAAGACGTGAAAAAGGGGAATAAACAGCTGGAGGCCAAAAGACAAAGCTGGAGGCAGAGGGAGACCTTCATTCGACATTCCAGCTTCGTCTGTCATGCAAAGCTCGGACTTGCTAAGCCACTTTAGACACTGCTCATAAAAGGACTGAATTTTAACCAAACATGTCGCTCCCATAATCTCGCGATAAACGAATGTCTACTAATCATTAATAAATAAAGAAAAAGGGAGCCCAGACACTATACTCTAGTGATGGAGATGTTAGACAAGTCATACTTCTTATTATGGTTGCTGTTTATTATTATTATTATTATGTTCTTGCTGAGATTTTATAGCAGATGTTCTGATAGCTTCCAATGGATATAATGTGACAGCAAGTCTCGTAGGTTATTCAGAATTCTCAGTTCTACGATACATTAAAAGAAAACTCGCGTCAAAAGCAATAGAAAGAAAAAGAAATAATGACAAGAAAGCAAGAGACACGGAAAATAATTTTTTCTCGTACAGAATACATTGAAAAACTTACACTCAATACGGAAGTAAAAAGCACAGACAGACCACTCAGTAGTCCAACCATCAAAGCAGTAAGACGTTGTTCCCTGAAAATGAAAGAAATAAAACTTTTATTTCAGCAAAATCCTTTTCACTTAACATTTAAGTACTTTGAGCTTATTGCTTATTGTTTTTTTTTATATCAGCTCTAAAGGGAACACTGTCTTCATAGATGAAGACACTTGAAGCGATAGAGATGTATTTATGCTAACGAATATGTGAAGAAATTGACTGTTGGTCAAGCGGGAAAGGAGTAGTATACTTATCTTGTGTTGTTGAAATGCTTACTATCCATTTATAGTTACAGTAGTCACGTTACAGGGATAGCATTTGATCCCTGAAGTTGCGTAAAAGGAGAAGAAATCTATCTCTTTTTTTTATTAAATTTACCTTCCATCTTATCAGATGGTTATACGTCGCTAAAAAGTGGCAATATATTTTGTAATTCAAGATAAGTGCTGTTGCTTTTCTTTCCTTGACTTGACCAGTCTCTGTTCGTTTTTGGGATCGGGGGCATTTTCTCGAAAAATGCTAAGAATACTACGAACAAAATAAGTGAGTAACGGGGAAGTTTTAAGGAAAATAAAAGCAATAAGTAAACTTTGAAAAGAAAACAACTCTAGGACATATAACAAGGAATGACGGGTTGGAGAATTTAACGCTTACAGGAGATACAATTGAAATAAGGGGAAATAACGAATAACATATTTAATGAATTTCGACAAATCAATAGTTAACAAAGACAAGGGGATGGTAAACGTTCAAAATTGAACGTAAATTGCGGCTTACAAATCGACCTGGCGTACAAGTCGACCTCAAGATTTTTAGCTCAAAATTCTTAGTTAATTGATCCCCAAACATACTGTAGTCTACCAGTAGCCCAAAACTTAGGCCTACTGGTAAACGAAGTTAGGCTACAGTATATAATAATCTGTGCCAAAACTACATCACTTACTTGTATATAGAGACATTAACCGTAATATCTTCCCATATTTATCGTATAGACGATATACAACCTACAATGCACATCGATAGGTAATGTATATTGTATCAGTATAACTTTTACACTTACTGTATCATCTGTTGGTGATGCAGCGTCAATAGAATACTGAATTTGTGTTACTATTTTATTATTTTATATTCATTTCTGTGTTAATATGCCAAATATGCTCACCAAACACAAGTTTTAGTGGGAGATATTTGTGGCAGCCAGCTGGAGGTACTGTAAGTGGTGTACAGTAATTTATTTGGAGTGCTATCCCAATTGTTTACAAGTCGGTGGTAAAGGTTTGAAATTTTTACCCGCCATATGAGTCAACTTTTAGTTTTGGAAAGCTTTTTTAGGCTTAAAAACTTGACTTGTACGCCGCAACTTACGGTACTTAATTGGATCGCTCTCAGCCTGAACAGGTTTAGAAATTCGAATTTGATTTTTAGTCAAGATATTTATCTATTTTCACCCTTATTTCAAATGTTTGGTTCAACGGAAGAGAGTAAATACTTCCTACCTTTTTCCAAAATACTATTGACACATAAGTGAATATAACGAATCGGATTGGAACTGAAACTTGGTTCTCTCATTTCCAATTCAGAGTCGTTATCCATTACACCACCCGCACATCCAAGCTTACAGCAACTATTTCCCAAGCGCTTAACCGTGTAGGTTCGATGTTGCTTAACATCGGTGATAGCATGAGAACTGGTATTTCAACGTGATATTGCTGTAAGCACACCTGATTGAAAGTTAATTTTCATCGAAAGTTATTGAGCATATTATATTGAAAGAATTTTTTCTGATTTTGTTTTTTTCTCCTACGAAAAAGCCTACATAAGAGCTCACGAAACAACGTTTAAGGAAAGATTTATGAAGTCAGAAATAAATAACATAATTATCAAGATTAAATGTGAAATTGTAAAAAAAAAAAGCAGGATCAAAAATTAGCAACAGTATAAACTGTAAACTGTGCCTGGAGGAAAAATTAACAATCATCACCTTAAAGGATCAAAACAACTTATTGAACACGAAAAATGAAATAATGGATAAATGCAGACATTTAAATACGCATCTACTTTGCTACCTAAATACTAATATAAAAAGAAAAGAAAAAAATACAACAAAACGCAAGCCTATCACAAACACAATCCACCATACCTAACATATATATATATATATATATATATATATATATATATATATATATATATATATATATGGAAAAAATCATACATTTTGCCGACGCGTTTCGTCTTCCGACTTTTCAAGGCAAAAATGAAATCGAAATGTTTTTTTGTTGTTATAGTTACATTAAAATTCAAAATTAAAAGATAGACGCTTGTGTCTAAGCTTTTTTTTCTGGTTAATAAATTACCTTTATAGTAAGGGATTATTATTATTTTTTTTAATAATAATAATAATAATAATAATCCCTTACTATAAAGGTAATTTACATTAACGTGAAAAAGGCTTAGACACAAGCGTCTATCTTTTTAATTTTGAATTTTAATGTAACTATAACAACAAAAACATTTGATTTCATTTTTGCCTTGAAAAGTCGGAAGACGAAACGCGTCGGCAAATGTATGATTTTTTTTCCAATTGTCATTTGATACCAATCTGTCTTGTCCACAGAATTCATCTGGGAATTTAACTATATATATATATATATATATATATATATATATATATATATATATATATATATAAACGAGAACGCACAGAGAGACAGGAAAGTACAAATACACACATAAACATACACATAAATATAAATACACAGTTAGACGCACACTCACGAACACACAAACATATATATTTGTATGTAAGTAAACAAGCATGCGTGCATATGCACGGTCACGCGCATAAATACCCACCCGCACAAAAAACACATACAAAAATTCAACAAAAACCTAATATAAAATGGTTAAAACAAGTTAAGGATCATGCTAAACATAAACCAATTAAAAAAAATACAAAATGTATAATTAATTGGTCTAACAATATCACGAACAAAAAACTCTTCTTTCACACAACTAAACACAAGAATCAAACACTAAGTAAATTTAAATAATATAACCTACTAAAATATATTAAAACACTAAGTGGAATAATACAAACTAATAAAAATAATAATACATATATAGTTAACACAAATACACGCACAATTAACCGTACAATACAGTTAACACGAACACACACACAAACACACAAACGCACATATACGAAAACACAAACATACATGTACGGGTGAATATGTGCGTTCATGCTTGTGTATGTGTATGCAAGCATGCATGGTCATACATAGGCTCGCGCATAAACACACACCTGCACATACAGACAAAAAATTCCAACCATAACCAAAATTTAATGGTCAACAATAAATCAGAGACAGACAAACGAACAAAAGATGAGGAAAATATAAAAGAGAAAAAAGAAAAAAGAAAAAAAAAGAAAAGAGAAAAAGTAAAATTAAAAAAGTGGAAGGAAGATAAATCAGTCATCAATCAACACCCATCAAAGCGAAAGGAAATAACACACTTATACCAATAAAAGAACAAGAGAATCGAGAAATGACAGCGCATTAACTCAGTTCCGACGGGTGGTTATACCTATATAGTCACGAAACTCCGAAGTAAACATCAGGTAAGTGAAACTTTTTCATTTTAATTATATATATATATATATATATATATATATATATATTCACTTTTTCTCTATATATCTTTTTCTCTCTCTCTCTCTCTATATATATATATATATATATATATATATATATATATTTTGTGTGTGTGTGTGTGTGTATGTATGTGTATGTGTGTGTGTGTGTGTGTGTGCGCGCGCTGGGACACTTTGATGTTAAAGTATCTGAATCTCGGCAGAAGTTAAGATTCATGAGTAAATAATTCTGCCATTTTTTAGAATCACGTGATTAGTTCTTTTTTATTTATATTCGTTGACAAATATAATAATTTGCATTTGGTGTCTTTTATTCGAGATCAGGTAACAGCAATTCTATCCTATCGTGTGAGAGTAAATTTTGAATACGCTGAATGTATGTCTACCAGAGGGCTATGACCTCACCAAAACGGTGATACGTTTCGAGTAGATACTTGTACACTTTTATATAAACTGAAACTATATCTAACTTTTTCATTCTAGTACAAGCTGAATCTATGTCTATATTTCACAGGAGCGTAAACTGGAAACATGACTATCTTTTTCACTCTCGTGTAAATCGAATCTGTCTTTCAATGAATTCATTATAATGTTATTCCAATATGTTTGACATATCCCAACAATGCATCGTATGTGGTTAAATGATTTAATAGAATGGAAGCTAAAAAGAAAGAAAATAATTGAGAATAAACAAAAAGAAAAACAGACTGACCTCACTCCTAAGAAGGCTGCTCTTTCCCCTGGAGCCGTGCACTCGGATTCTTTTTTAAGACTCATAACGTGGGCAAGGGCAGAAACCGTAGCGGCGACATACCAAGGCAATCCAAGCAAGGAGCAAATGAGAATGCAAATCGCCACCACAAACATATCCAGATGATAACCGCTTCCTTTCTAGAATAATAATATAACATGAAAGTAAGAAACTGTATTCAGTAATAACGGAAGCCAACAAGTTCAAAATGATACTTCAAGTGCATGAAGAAATGCAAGTAAAGCATAATACACCTACTGCAGCGGCAAAAACGTTAAAAAAGAAAGCAAAAGCAAATGCAACAGACCTGATACAGAAACGATGGCAAGATAAATTTTTTCACGGTCAATATTCTGCCCGTGCGAAACAATCTGACCCCCGTATCCATCAGTGGCTACGTGGTGTAGGGTTAAAAGGTGAAACCGAAGGTTTTATTCTTACTGCACAGGACCAATGTTTGATAACTAGAAATTACTAAGCACACATACTGAAAAATTGTTAACTTAAAATGCAGATTCAGTGATAAATATCCAGAAACAATTGACCATCTTGTATCAGGTTGCACGGTACTGGCACCCACTGAATATAAATCCCAGTATGACAGAGTGAGCCAATATCTGCACTGGAAAATCTGTAATTTCTATGGGAAGAAAACTGCAAGAAATTGGTATAAACGGGTTACAGCGTTAGGACCTGTACCAATTTTTATGGGACTTTGAAATTAATACAGACAGAAGAATCAAATCGTCCAGACATCATGATCAGAATGTGCCTTCTTATTGACATGGCATTCCTTGAATTTTGTAATGTATCTTTGAATATTTTCAAAAAATACAAGAATCTTGAAGTGGAAATCTCAAAATCGTGGCACATGAGGACATCAATAATTCCAGTTGTAGTTGGAGCCCTCGGATTGATTGGAATAGTTTCCGATAGACTCATTGAAGGGATTTCTGGTAGCCCGAGTCTTAAAGAAATACAAAAAATTGTACTCACAAGTACAACTCATACATTAGCTTTATTTAAGTAAAATATGTGTGATCATAGTTTGTTTTTGTTTTTTATCAGTGGAAAATGTCATGTAGTCATTTCTGATCTTACGTCACTGGTTGGGGCCCGGAAAGAAATGTGTATATAACAGAAATCAAAGGAAATAATAATAATAATAATAATAATAATAGGATTAGACAGGTTCACCTATCGAGGTTTATTCAGCCTTTCAGTCTGATTATTGGTCTTTAACATAGATTTATTTGTTGATTGTCTGCCACTGATCTCGTTGATAGTTCTCCAAGCAAGAACCTGATGTTCATCAGGTAAAACTTTTATTTAATACAAGGTGGTCGATTGTTCTCGTTCCGGTCTCAATGTCTTCGAATATCTTGTCTTGTTCTCTTTTTAGCTTTGATTATTTATTACTGTTTTCCACCACGTCTAAATGTCTGTTACTTGGCCCAGTGATTGAACTCACCAAATTCACAGACCAACGCTTTAATCCAATCATCTCAAATTCAGTGGGAACAGGACTAGCAATGAGTAAGCAATACTAAAAAAAAGGGAGATATTTCTAGAAATGGAGAGCTGAACGGGAACAATCCACGTCTATAGATTAAATAAAGGGTTGCATGCTCAGTGGTAAGAAATCCTAAGAATGCAGCCTTCGCTGTTAAAAAGGAAAAAAAAAATTCTTAAAATATATCATTTACCATGAAGTTCTATAAAATTAAATTAAATAAAAAAAAAATTATTAAACCGCGAAGTAAGGTTTTTGTCAAAGTATTTTTCCTAACAAATCAACTTATTCAATTTTCGTCAATTGGTTTGCGAAATTAAATGAATTGTAGAGTTTGTAAATTTCTACAAAAATGATAGCGCGATACAATACTAAATATTGTAAGGGTTTTTAGTATAGAAAATGACAGGACACATTTCAAACATACGTTGTCTTTCGCATGCTTTGTTCACATAGCCTTTGTTTCTGCATATGACGTGACGGTAGCAAATAACAATTGGCTTCGTAATATCATAACAGAACGTTTGAAACGTTGTGATAATAGTAACAAAGGGAAAGTCATTGTTCTGAATGACAATGATATAAATATTTATGACGCTTTTCTATCGAATAATGACCAGCAAACTAAATCATTGCCATTGAAGTGATGTTTGAAACTCATTAGGCCCTCAACACCTATGTCCTTAGACAAGACCAAGTTTCGTATATATAACTATTGTTTAATATAAAACACAGTGTGAAGTTATGTATTTATTGGTCATTCGTCCTTATTTCCTTTAGGGGGATAATGAGTTATTCTCTTTTTTTTGATAGAAGGCATTAATCGAGGCCAATAAGTGAACATATCCCGTGTTCTTCTTCTTCTTCTATGTGTTGTGTCCCTTCAGAATGCTGACGATCATGGCTCTCTACAATTTCCTGCCTTTTGTAGCTCTTAATAAATTTTGTCTTTTTGCCATCTCTCCTAAACACTGCTCCGTCATCCATTCACTCAAGTGTGCCCAGGCACGCTTGAGTGAATGGATGACGGAGTGTTTAGTGAATGGTGTCAAAATTTTCAAGCCCTCTTTACTTATTATATGCCCTAGAGATTTCAACTAATCCCTTTTTGATGTTAAGTATAAGTGTCCTTTTTGTTTGTATTTTCTACTAAACTTTACCGGCGCTCACATATTCAATCTTTTGTATTCTCAGTATCCTTCCATACAAGTACATTTCTGTTCTCTCAAGTTTCTTCTTCATCTGTGAGGAGATTGTCCCGCATTCACAACCATATAGGAGGACTGATATTACACAAGAGTTCACTGCTCTTTTCTTTGTTTCTAACAATATTTTCCTGTTTCTTAATACATTGCTTAGTTTTTGGAAGACATCGTTCGCTATCCCAATGCACCTTCGGATTTCAGTGTCGCACTTTCCATTGTCTGTTAATACGCTTCTCAGATATCTAAATTGTTGCACCTATTTGATTTCGGTATATCCAAATAGAATATCATTAGTAAATAGGGATAATCAGACTATTGATACATTATTAAGTAAGAAAAATTATTTCTTAGGAGTTAATTATTCTTTACTTATAAAGTCAATTGTATGTAAAAAAAAAAATCATAAGCATTGCTTTTACAAAATTATTTAAATCATTTGTCATTTTTTGAAGTTACGAGTAAAATAATTAATTTTAATCCCGAAAACGAGATAATCTGAAACACAGATGACATCAGCACAATCCAGAGACTGTTATGGAAAATAAAAACTATATGAAAGCCAAACCGATAACTCCATCCAAACAAGAAGACTGGATTTGATAGTCGTGAAAAAGTGAGTCAGATTGCGAACGTGACTACGCTGGCATACGACAGGGTGAACCCTGAAGAGAGAGTTATAAACTGGAAAAATACATTGCTCGAGAGCTGGGAAGAGTTTAGAATATGGAAGTTGGGATTGTAACCATAACATTAGGCGGAACTCATGTCAGATACACGATAACCGACATTAATTGAATTACAAATACATGGAAGTGTTTTATCTATCCAGATCACAGCATTGATGAGGCCTACATGGATACTGAGAAAGGTGCTGGAGATTTGAAACTTCCTCTCATTCGTTTTTTAATGATGTCCGCATAACATCTGGGAGTGTGGAATATTCAAACCATCTCGTTGCTGATACCGACATGCACACTAAGAAAGGTGTTTGTAGATTCTTTCTGTCAGTCGCTCTTCTATGATGTCCATATGGCACATGCATAGGAATAATAATAATAATAATAATAATAATATATTAATAGGATAGTGAGCAGAGTGCGGGGGGTACTGAAAGGTATAGATATCACTTGAGTACTATTAAATATTTTAACTGTGAAAATAATGATGACGAGTTTACACGTTCCAATAATGCCGGACAACGATGATGAATATAATTCTCATCTTCATGTTTCATTTCGTCTTTTCAGCTATGTGGCAAGACTAAAATATTTTTCCAGCTTTTTACTCATTTTCTTTTTTCAAGTGATTTACTATGACACATGAAATCAATTTTTTATCATATATACTCTTCTCATTGTTTAGTAGATTTGCTCTCTTGTCTGTTTTGAGAAGTGAATCTGGTTTTTGGTCGGTGGTTCGTTTTGGGAAGTATATCTCGTCTCTGGTCGGTGGCCCTTTTTGAATTTCAAAATTTCCACGAAATTTATGGTTTTTATTCCTTAAGACAGACTCTGATTTGGGTTTCGACCAGGATGAGCAAACTGTTTTATTTTCCATAATTTTACTACACGCATTTCTGGTCATCAGGCAAAGGGTGGAGATTTCCACATATTATTAAAAATAATTATTTTTTTTTTCCTTTATGTTTTTCGATGTTCAATATTCTCGATATGAGACATTCTATTTTTTGTGTTAGTAATCCGAATTTCTTTCTTGAACTTGACTAGTACAAAAATGCATTTATTCAGCATTAAACACACGATTACATCTTTACTGAGTGTAAGTTAATTTAAGACGTTTCTTTTTTATTCTTTTGTCATAGCTAACTTGTTTTTCAGTGTTCAAATGAAATTTTCTTACGTTTCAGATAATATTTCTTTTACAGCAATTAAAAGATTCCGTTTCTTCTTTTAAGAATATCACCAAAGAGAACCCAGAGTCTTTATTCAATCACTCAACGAAATTCTTAAAATTAGGCATGAAAGAGGATTCCGTTTAATGTGTCGAATTTTTCAATGTGATGAGACTGTTAATTATAACGCTCTAATGAATGTTCTCATATCTTCGGTTAATGTTCAAAAGATAAGCTTATAATATGTGTGCTTGTTAAGTGTATGTCCACCTGTATGGCAGCAAATGATGGACAGTCTTCTCAAAGATGACGAACGGACTTGAAGCAACAGAAATGTTGTTCTACAGAAGGGTACTGAGAATACCATTGACTCAACATGGGAGTAAAGACGAGGTTTTGAAGAAAAAAGGAACAAAAAGAAAACTTAACGTCTGGAAGAGGCAACTGAAATTTCTGGAGCACGTAATGAGGAAGGAGAGCTTGGAAAACCTGATACTCACAGGACAGATTGAGGGAAGGAGAGGCAAAAGAAATCAGAGCGAAACTTACTGGTGGATGGTAGAACAGGGCTTGGGAGAAATAACAAAAAGACAAAACATATTAAGAGCTACAAGAGACAGGGAGATGTGGAGGGCCATAATCGCCTACGTCCTGAAGAGACACGGCACATAAAAGAAGATATTAAACCCATTTTTTCTTTGTTTCTGAGTAAATATGTAATAGTTTCCATGTTTTTATACAAGTTATCTTTAAAAAAAGAGAAAAGAAAGTTCTTTGTCAACTTTTGAACATCCTTCTGACATGCTGTTTGACATCAGGATTGAGGATGTGCAAATATTTTTAAAACTCTAAATGATTTTTGAGAAAGGTTATATTTACCTTGCTACAAATATATTCCGAATTTTTTAATTTATTTATGCGTTATTTTACACGCTACCTTTAAATTACCCGATGTTATTTAGAATTTTCACAATATTTGCATATCGACGAATCTTATGTAAAGTGTATATTCAGAAAGGAGAAAAAGTTATTATATAATTAATTAGCAAAGAATTTTCATAGTTTCGTAATTCAACTTGTAAACGAAATAATTGTTGCCCAAATTTTAAACAGGCGCACAGATTTATCCCTTGTTTCCTGTTTCGGATTAGATTTTCAGTTCCTTCTAAAGTCTACTTCAACTTTATACGTCTCCGCCTAAAATTTAAAATTTTATTTACTATTTATTTTTTTTATTTATTTGTTCTTACTTCAATAAGGGGAGGTAGATTCGCATTTCCTCGGTCTTTTGAAAAGGTGCAGACGTTTATTCCTTGTTTCCTGTTTATGATTATGGTTCCTTTCAAAATCTTCTCATTCTTTTTTACTTACTATTCTTTTTCACTTCCTATGCGTCTTAGTGGCATCATCGCCTTTGTTTGCAGTGAACTGATTTAAAAAAAATATGATTCCTCGGCCCGACAACATCTCGAAATCTAACAAAATGGTCTTCTCGATTGAGTCGTTAACTTTTTATATATATATAGCACCCTTAGTATATATATATATATATATATATATATATACGTGTGGGTGCATGTGTGTATGCAATGAACGTATAATTATATATAGAGTAAAGCAATGTATCAATATCTATCTATCTATCTATCTATCAATCTCTCTCTCTCTCTCTATATATATATATATATATAATGTGTGTAGGTGTGTACAACACTTCAATGAGTAAAAACATCTACATTCTGATACTCTATATCCGCAGTGGGAGGATACGACATGGTTGGTTACACGTAGGGTACATATTTGTGTGTCTGTGAGCCGAGAGCAAAAAATTTCCCAGTTCCCGCGACTGTTGTCATGCAGACGACACCGGTGCAATGAGAGAGGTTCTACTGCATCTTTAGATTTTTCATGATCATATTTCATACATACTTCCCAAGGGTATTAAAACGTAAGTGATTGTAATGGATTCGACTGGAATTTGAACGGCTCTCCGATTCCTCAATCAGAGCCTCTGTCTATTAATCCACCATTACTCTCTCTCTCTCTCTCTATATATATATATATATATATATATATATATACACAATTCCGGAAAATCTTTGTTGAAAACATAACTATACTTAAACATGAAAAAAATAAACAAAAACTAAAAATTCTTGAAGCTATATACATAAACAGTTGAAACCTAACCTGAACAAAATAAACTATAAAATCTCCACAAATATTCTTAAATGCCTATAATTAGTAACAGAAGCAAATTAGTTTATACCAACGGCTTCCCATACTTTATAATTCTCGTTTTCACTCTCGCGTGATAATGTGTGACGTCATGAGCTGCGATGCGATTTTCGCTTCCAGCGTCTTATATGCACGAAAAATCTTGCTTGGAAATCTTCCATCTAAACAGAACCAGACCATCATTACTGTTTTGTCCGTATATTGCTTAATATATTGTAATGTAATTGTTATCTTTGATAATGGCTTATGTAAGATGAAAGCTTAGATAGGATTAAAAAAAATATGTATCAATATTGTGATTTTCTTTCTTCGTTCAATGATAAGACGATATGAAAAGAATTTACATAAATTAAATCGACAACACTTTTCTAAATTATTTAATGAAACATGCATCAATATATATATATATATATATATATATATATATATATATATATATATATATATGCGTGTCTGTGTGTTTGTATAAATTAATATATGATATCATACATGGTGGTGTTAATAAAATAGTGCTGAATGTAATAATGCAATTTAAGAATAAAAACGAAAAAAAAAAAACAGTAATTCCCGTATAATATATGACTGCGCCAACATTGTGTTAAGCATACATATTTATTAAAATTTAAATTATGTAACGGTCAGTCTCTATTCAGCACCTGAAGACTGGCTTGTGCATGAAACTCTGAATCGTGCTACGTAAGGAAAAATGTATATTTATATATATATTATAATATTATTTATACGATAATATCAAAATTCGCTTTTCAGAGTTTCATGTAACCACAGTCATTAGGAGGGTGTAATCTGGAACAAATATTTAGGCACGGTTAGCTTTGGTTACGAGCCTCGGTTTATTTTATATTTTAAGCTTTTACTTTATTTTCGGCTTATGCTTTTTACAAGCTTTTATTGTTAATGTTTGTATATATATGGAGATAGATAATGAGAGTATAAAATGACAGAACGATTTACATATATAGATTGATTCTTCTTGGCAGTAGAATCAATCTCAACATATCTAAAGATGCAATAGAATTTCTGTCATTGCACTATTGCATATATATCTATCTCTCTCTCTCTCTCTCTCTATATATATATATATATATATATATACTACGAAAATGACAGTCCGCTAATTATTTTAATATATTTTATTGTTATATGTTATTTATATAGAACAGACACAAATATTTAAGTAAATGCTCTGCTTATAATACAAGTTCAAACCAGGAAATGTTGTTAATTTGATTATTATAAACACCACATTTACTTAAATATTTGTGTCTATAAAATAACGTATAACAATAATATATATTAAAATATAATATATATATATATATATATATATATATATATATATATGTGTATGTATGTGTGTGTGTGTATTCTCCTACCTTCAGTTTGTTTTCCTTGCGGTTAACGATGACGGCCGTGATTTGTTGATCCATGAAAATAAGGATAACAGCGAGCAAGGCAGGAATAATCGAAGCTGGAATAACCCACCATGGATTCTTGTCACTCAGTGGATTGATGAACCATTCGCGGTTTGGTCTTGTCGGCTTAAATGCAATAAAAAAAGAAAGAAAATCCATGAATGATTCTCTTTAAAAAAAATAAATCCAGACCATAGAAGATTTACCCAATTCCAAATGTTCATCCTGAGGATCTCTTTGCTCACTGACATTTCGTCCATCAGGTGAATCTTTCGCCCTGGCTGTTGACTTGTCTAAAAAGCCCACCGCGTAGCGATGTTGTGTTATCATCACTCTGCATATTCTGCTAGTAGTTCCCTCTAAAGTGCAGATTTAACCCACACTTGGTTGAAACTCTCTTCATTTTGGAGCTTTGCAAAATATATATCGTTAATATTTAATATTTGATAAAGTACTGAGTTGGCCAAAAAGTTCGCTCGGTTATTAAGAAAATTTACTTAATAAGTCGAACAAACTTTTTGGCCAACCCAATAGTTTAGTTGATTAATTAGTTTTTTAAAATATTTCGTTGCTTAACCTCGGAACATTTTTAATGGTAATATTTTAAGATAATAGATATTAGATAACCTACTTCTCAAATCAAGCACATAATGGTTACAAAAACAGTTCATTTTATTCTTCATACTACCAAATTATCTGTTAAAAATGATGCATTTTGGGGACTGTTAGAGGAGGTTAACTTACTACCACTATAAAGGACAATAACTCAAAGTACAATGAAGTTACTTCCCTTGTCCGCTGGTCGGGGCGGGCACTTCCGATTCCAACAGCTGACACCTATGCGGAATCCATGGTTTAAATCCAAACTAATCCTTGCTGTTCTAAGACAGTAAATGGTTAAAAGTTGTTTTATTATGTGTTAAAATACATTTGTGTTTTATTTTCATTCGTTTTTTTAAAATTCCAACAACCTGGGATATAACAGACTTCTTATTCAAAATGTCGAATTGATTTTTTTTTTTTTTTTAACCAACCCTATTTTCTTGATAATTATGTCTTTGCGAATGGCTGTTGCATTAACAATTTTCTTATAATAACAATGCTTGTCTAGATACTAGTTGACCCATACCAAGAGGAAGAGATGGATTCATATCTTTCCCGGGCGTATTTGTGCTTAAGTGAATGTAACGAACCCGACTAGGATTCAAACTCGTCTCTCCGATTTCTCATGCCAAGCCAGTATCTATTACATAAACCGCACATCCACTCCAGTTGCCGGAAAACAGCATCTATACTCTATCGTTGCCTTATTTCAAATCTTCTACAAGCTGATATTCCTGAAATATGAATATTTAACAATATTTCTCTATAATCCAATACTTCATCGGATAAGATATCCGACAAAACCCAATAAGGATGGTTATCATTTTCCAATGCTTATCAGGTCTCGTACTGTTATGATTACGAAATCCGCCTTCGTAACAATGCCTAAAAGTTCTGAGATAAAAGATACTTATTCTGTAAATTATTAGGGTCGGAATCTTGGGGAAAATTGGATTAATTATGTTAAAGCCCGTTTTATTTTACGTGATTTACTTGTTAGAAAACATGACATTTTATATTTTATGACTCAGCAATTTGGTTCATCCTGTGTTTTTACTTTTTGAAGTACGAACAATTTCTAGTGAATTTTAACAGTTTAGCAAAGACTAAAAAATAAATAAATAAGTAAAGTAAAATGATGCGATAGAAAATCCGTGAAAATGTGAATAATTGCTTAATAACTTCTTTAACACTTCCTAAATTCGAACGCTATCTCGTTAACGCCAATGAAAAGCGAGGAACTCAGTTTGTTGAGAGCTTTTATATAAGAACATATCACATTTAGTAAGTTCTGCCTATGAGTGAGAAAATCTGAAGCTGAGATAGTTATTTGGATCTCACCTTGAATTCCTTAGGAACATTCAACTTTGGCGTAGGGATGCCCAGAAGGACGTCTATTCCGACCATAATAATTATGGAGATTAGGACGGAGAAATCACTCAGATTTTGACGCACCTGCAATAGGAATAATAATAAAAAAGGGATTTAGTTTAAACTCAGTAAAAAAATAAACCAAAAAATAAAATTACTTACAACCGGAAATCTTTCTATTATGTAAGGTTTCCATGCTTCCATTTCTTTCTTTCTTTTCGACATGCAAGTGTCCCCTTTTCTTTTTGCTATTTTCAGTCTTTCTTTTTCGTTTTCATGCATTCATTACCTCATTCTTTCATTTTGTCCTTTCTTTCAAAGCATCCATTTTTTCTTATTCTTTCTCTTCTTTTTTAAATCTTATTTCGTTTATTTTTCCTTTTTTTATTTTTTATCTTCTTTCTTTTGCAGTTTCTCATTTATTCCTTGAACATTTCTTATTCCTTTATTTAAACTCAAATTACTTATTCATCTTTCAATATTTTTCTGTTTTCTTTCGTTTTTTCTCCTTTAGACTTTATTATTCTTTAGTTATTTGCTTCATTAATTTTGCATTTTTCAGCCTTCCTTTCCGTTTTACTTTGCCTATTTCCACTTTGCACTATTTTCATGACGTAGATGAATTGAAAAGATGTATAACACACACGGATAGCGTAGACTGCCATTCACATTACGACTGTAAGAATTCTAACGAGCGTCTAAGAAAACCTACTCATCCAGCCGTCATTGGTCAGGAAGAGTATCAATGTCTATTACTTCGAAAAAGAGAAATATAGGGAAGAGTTGTTTAAAGTGTGAAATTCAAACACGACGTCTTAGGTTTTCTTTGGGTCGTCTAAACTGGGCTAATCTGTAAAACGCAAAAGTCTACTTGGATGGTCCACAACGAAAAGCTGACAATGGTTTCAGTAAAACGACCATAAAATCCAGAAATTAGGGCATCTCGACGTTTTGGAATACTTAGCAAGCTTATTTCGCTAGAGTAGTGAGTTCGAACCCCACCGGGTGCTACGACTGAGTAGTAAGTTCGATTCCCACTAGGTGCTTCGTACTTTCGGCCTTGTGCAACATCTGAGTTCTGCATAGAAAATCACTATAACATCCTGAAGAAGATAAAAAAGATTTGTACAGCAATCACAACTTGCATAAACATGTTGCCCACGAAGAAAGCAAGATTTTTATGATTTTCCTTTATTTTTTGCTTCGTTCTTTATAATGTGAATTTTTCTTCAGTTTCATTCATTCATTCATTCATTTTTCTTTATTATTTTATGCTGTCTTCCTACTTTGTGATTTATTTTTTAATCAAAGCCTTCATTTCTTTATTTCTTCCATTTTCTTCGCGAATTCTCTTTTTTCTTTCTTACTTTCTTTATTCATATAGAAGTCTACTCTTTCTTTCTTTAACAACACACAAGTTTTTTTTTTATTTTGTTTCTTTATTCGCATACAAATTTTCTCTTTCTTTTTTCTTTCTTTCTTTCTTCCTTCCTTTCTGTTTATTTGTTTATTCCTTTCTTTCTCTTTCTTTATTCCTTTCTTTATCCACATAAAAGTCTTCTATTTCTTTTTTCTTTTACATGTGTTTCTTTCTTTATCCACAAGGTTTCCATTTCTTTCTTTCACGTTTCATTTCTTTTTTATTCTTTCATTTTTTCAGTTTATTTATTTATCCATAAACAAGACTTCTATTTATCTCTTTTTTCTCTTTCATTTTTTATTTGTTTGTTCGTTTCTTCATTTCTTTGTCTATATAAACGCCTTCAATTTATCACTTACTTTTTTATGTTTGTTTCTTTGCTTTCACACAAGGCTTCTGTTTGTTTATTTCTGTTTTAAAAGAGCTTTTATTTCTTTTCTTCTTTCTTTCTTATTGTCCTTTTCTGCATAGAAAGCTTTTATATATCGCTTTCTTTCTGTTTGTTTATTTCTGTCTTTTTACACATACACAGCCTTTATTCATCTTTAGTCATCAGTTAAGCTCACAGAAGACGCATCTGTTTCTCTCATTCCTACTCTCGATCGAAACCCCCTTGAACTTGAACAATAATGGAACTGATCCCATCAAACTAATCTATCCTTGGTATGTAGGGTATCGACCACGAAATTAGGAACAGTCCAATTTTGCTATGTTTAGATTCGTAATTCTTACACCACCACGACCATTCTTCGCTCAACATCAGCGGTAGAAATTTAACCCCTTCATTAAAACAAAGTTTCTTAGTTCAGCTGAATTCATTGTCATTCATTTAGATATGGTAGCAATTAAATTCAATAGTTCTACTCTGATTAACAAGTGCTCTTAGCACAGATGTTTGAATAATTCAAATACAACTTCAACGCATTCAGAAAAACGCTTAACCACCAAGCAGTGGTGTTCCCACTAACCGACCAGATCGAGGGAAACAGAATTGAAGACTGTAGACGAAGACAAGTACTTCGGAAAGTGTCATTTCTAACGATGGCTTCCTCGATAAATAAATCAACCTCAGGATTTGTGAGGCAAATTAAGCCCTGGGCAAACTACGAGCTCCTGTGCTGAATCAGCGCAACCTACGGCAGTCCACCAAGCTCACGTCCTACAAGGCAGTTATCCTCAACAGCCTTCTTTATGGATGATCCTTGTATGGAAGCCACATCAAAATGTTGGAGAACTTTCACATGAGTAGCTCAGGTCTAAGAAATTAACTCACAATATATAACTAAATGTCTTCTGGACTAACTCGTTAACCATTATGTCAGCTATGGATTAAATATCTGGGTAAACTGGGCTCTTTAGCATTGGGTGGAAAACATTTCAAGAGAAGGAAAATATAGAATTCTAAAATATGAAGAAAGCCAAAAGAAACTATTCCACTATCCTTGCAACGAATATATGGCAATTAAGAAACGGGGATGTGTGGAGAGCCATGATTGCCTTTTCTCAATCTGGCTCAATGATTTGTGTAGGATATTTAAGACTAGGATGAACCCAGGACACAGTAAGCATTATACCACAACGAGGCACACAATGTCAGCATATAAAAGTGATTTTATATTTTCTTTAAGCTGTTGTACTTAAACGCAGGCCATACGACGAGGATGAAATTACTGTTGGAATGTTTTACTAGGCAAACTTGTTGATCATTACAGCTGAGCGAGAGTTGGGATTTTTCTTTTTAATTTGTTAAATAACAGTAACAGCAATAACCCAACTTTGCCCACTTTTCTCAACTTTGAGATGACTCTGACGCTGGCAACGTAAAGAATCTGTCCATAAGGTTGTAACGGACATGAAAGAATGTCTACAGAAACTTCATTTCATAAGAATTTGTTGACGTCAATTAGCCAGGTGACAAAAGGCGGGAAATTTTGTCTCGTTGGCTGGCGTTAGCTATGAGTGCACAGGTAAATGAGGCGTACCAGAAATGGCGTCAGTGGTAGTAGTAGGGGATAAACAGGTATGATACATTACGAAAGACAAACAGACAAAATTGCAGGATAACATGGTTGAAACTAAATTTAACTTTACGCCTATTTCGCAGAGCAACCAGCCAATATGCTCTCGGGAAAATGCTGTTGTCGCTATCATTGAATGAATATATATATATATATATATATATATATATATGCTACTTCAGACTTTATCATAGTAGATATCCCGTATTTGAAGTAGACGTCTCTTTTTTATTTATCAAACAATGTCTATTATTTCTGTCAGTCTGTGCACTGGAGAAATCTTAAAAAAATACGTTCTCCATAATATATGCAATGCACATGTGTGTGTGTGTGTGTCTGTGTCTGTTATAAAAATAAATAAAAAGTAAACGAATAAATTTAAAAAATAATCAGTAATTTGGGATATTTCAATAATTTAAGTGTGTCGACAATTTTTAATTGTACGAATGTTGGTAACAATTTTCTCTCAATTATTTTCCTATGATTTTTTTACATAAATGCATTTCATAAAGTTGGGATTATTAAAAAAAACTATGAAATCCAACAATTTCAACTTAAATATTCTTACGTTATAAAGTTTTAAAACTTTAAACTTTGTCACGTGATAAATGTTTTAGAAGTTTAAAGGATGTCAACTTATTACGCTTTATTTTTTATTTTTATTTTATTTAATTTTTTTCTAGTAAGGAACCGGTTTGAAATTTGTTTGGAATTGTCATTTATTAGCCTTTTATGTGGTGCACGGGGAGCAATGGATAGCGACTCAGATTGAGAAATTGGAGAGGCGAGATCGAAATCTAGTCGAATCCATTGTGCTAATACCCATAGGCGAGGTGTGAATCCTTTTTTACCCCCAGCTATGTGTAAATAGCTGGATAGACTGAGTTCTATAGCCTTGGATGGCAACTGGTCTACCGCAGAAAGAAATGGCAACCTACTGCGGGAAAAAAATCTACCTCGTCAGTTATTTATCAAAAGATACATGATCGCTTAAGCGTGTATCACGCATGGCACATAACTGATTGCATATAAATCTGTTAAAGATTTCGCTAGTTTTCTTTTATCCTGATGAGCGGTGTATCTGCAAAACTTGAAGTCGGAAGCTAAGTCTACTGAAATTATATTTATATATGTATTAGTCCAGAAAAATATTATGTTCTTTTTCACCTCCTGAGCATTGAGCGACTGCACCTAAAATGTGTGTGTGTGTGTGTGTGTATTTATGCATGTGTGTGTACGTGTGTGTGCATATGTGTGCGCGCGTGTATAATCATTTCAACCCAATCATTGTTAACAAGGTTATGGTTTATGAAAAAGTCAAGGGATTACAACGAGTGAAAGCAAATAATGAAAAGGAAGCGGAAAGCCAATCCTAACCAGGAAACAAGGGATTAACCTCAACTCCTATTCACTAGACGGGGAAGGAGTGTGAATCGAGCGACAAGGGGACTAATCTACTCCTGTCATATATATATATATATATATATATATATATATATATATATATATAGGTGTGTCCAAAATACGTTTAAAAACTTTGGGGCGGGTTCCTCACGCTAAAACAAGGACAAAAGTCCATATAAACCTATGTTCGCAAATACTTCGTTTTTTGAGTTAAGTTTGAAGAAAGGTTACGATTGATTGTGCTGTGTTGCCATATAGACTTGGTTACATTTGTCATTCGTGTACATGTGTTGCTAGTCTGTCTTCAACGTTTAACGTGTGTAGTAGTGACTTAACTGAGAAGTGTTCTGTTTAACAAGGACATATCGTGAGCTGGCAGATATGATTTTTACATACGGCCGCGCGAATGGCAATGGACACGTGACTGCACGGCTGAATTAGATTGCTTTTCCAGATCGAAGGTAACCGAGTTATCCAACTTTTGCTGCTGTTCATCCTCGCTTTGCTGAGACAGTATCCGTCACACAGCAAATTATGGATCGAAGAAGATCAAGACCCGATCGTACGCCTGACCACGAAGAACACATTCAACAGGCAGATGGTACTTCAAGATCAGCTCCTGTGTTCGTATCATTTGCAACGTGTGCAGGTCTTTTTTTGGATTGTATCTTTGATCGTACATTGAACAGCGTCTACCATAAATTTTGAACTTAATAATTCAAAAACGAAGGACCAGCAGACAATATGTTTACATGGGCTTTTGTATTTTTTTTAATAAATAAGACTAATAAATGCAGTTAAGAAGGAATAAGATGAATAGCGTGTTTGCAAACAATCTGAACATTTCAGGGATTCATATGTTTATTATTGATATGTTTCTATAATCAATACAATATATTTTGTTCGAATGTTTTTTCATTAATGTGTATCTATTTTTGCATCCACCTGTATAGAACTATATTAATCATGGCAATGTTAACTTCAAGACAAATGTCAAATGGCCTGCAACAAGATCTTTGTATTTCAAAAGAATGAAGACAGACATCAGTTTCACTGATGATCCTTTCGAAATCCATTACGCCATTTTGAACAGCATCTTCTGCAAGGAAAGTTGGGTCACTATGTCGTGCCAGAAATTTTTGCGTCATCTTACACCTTAACACATCTAACATACTTCCTTACATTGAATACTGTTGTCATATCTGGTCTGGTACTCCTGTTATTCATATCGAGGTTCTTGAAAAACCTAAAGAAGGATCTCTAATCGATCCTGACTTGGCATCTCAACTTTAGTCATTTTCTAACCGGCGTTTCATGTTTCCACTCTCTGTCTTTTATACAAATATTTTCTGACGAGTTTTTTTCCCTGGTGAACCGACTACATAAGTTTAAACGTGCTACTAGATTGGCATCTAGGTCCCACCCATTTACTGTTGAAATAGATAAATGCAACAGCCACTTCTACTCCAACATTTTCTTTTCACTCACTTCTCGCTGGTGGAACTCTATTCCGTTAACTTTCCTTGATAACTACAATCTTCAAAAATTTAAATGCAACGTCAATCTCCATCTTCTATCTTCTTTAATCCCGTTCATCTTTTGTCCTCACTCCTCCCCCCCCATATTCAGTCTTTCATCTCTCTTTAATTCCCTGTAACCCCCTGAATACGTGTGACATTTTGCCTTTGTTGGGCTGAAATGATTAATATATATATATATATATATATATATATATATATATATATATATATTTCTGCCCAAGTAAATACAGAAAGGCCTGGCTAAACACATCCATCATTTTTGGGTAAGATACCTTTGTGTTTCAAATAGGAATAATTATTCAAGTTTTGAAAAATATCACCTTATTCCAATCACCCCGTTTATTAAGTATTCATGAAATTTCCCACCACCCCTTAATTTCGGGACGAAGCGTTTCGTTTCTGAAAATTATAAAGAAATGCCGATGTTGTCTGGTTAACGGAGTAACCAATATCATGGAGCCAATAATATATAATCGTACACTTGTTAAATGACTACAATGAAACCCCCAAAAATGCAGTGTATGACATACAGAGCGTTGACTGATGGGCTGTGCTGCAACAGCGTTGAATTGGGATGTTTTCTGAGAGCACTGTTCGTCTTCGCTCGGTGATTACGCTTCGTGTGTGTGTCTGTTTGTATCTACGTATCTGTTTGGGTTTGTGTGTCCATGTCTGCATGTATTTTCTGTGTTATTGAAATTCATTGGGAACGTTTGGAAGAATTATATGAGTATAGAGAGAGGTATGAGGGAAGAAAGAGATGTATGAGGGAAGATATATATATATATATATATATATATATATATATATATATATTTGTGAAAATATATAGAAAATAGGAATGAACTGGTTAGGTAGATCCAAAGTTCCTTAGTATTTTAGTTATTATTTTTAGAAAAAATAGTGTTCGATACAAATGTAGAGCATAAATATAATTATTTATTTAAAAATATGATTTCAATTCGCGACATAAGAAACAAGAGACCTCTTATGTCGCGAGTTGGAATCATATTTTTAAATAAATAATTATATATATATATATATATATATATATATATATATGACAGAAGTGAGGTAAATGAGGGAAGAAAGAGATGTATGAGAGAAAAAGAGATATATATGACGGAAGTGAGGTATATGAGAGAAGAGAGATGTATGAGGAAAGAGAGATATGTATATGACGGAAGTGGGAGATATGAGGGAAGAGGAGAGAGAGAGAGAGAGAGAGAGAGAGAGAGAGAGAGAGAGATGTGCGGAAAGAGCCATGGTTTTCGTCCATAATCAATGGTGTAGGTAATAAAAGAGCGTTAACTTACCCAGGTTGGGAAAAAGCGACTCGTTTTGAAGGATTGTAAGCCGTTAGCCACAGTAAAAGTCCCCAAGAATAGCAGAATCGACAAAAAGAAAACATCGGGCGCATATTTGCAATCCGGACCAACAAGTTGTCCTCCCATCTCAAGACAGTTGCTGAGAGACAGAAGTTCGGTGCTGTTAGAGTAGCTGTAATTGACAGTGGCAAGCGTTGACTGAGTGTAATTGCTCGAAGTGATATTCACATCGAACAATTTGCCGTTATCCTGACTGTAGTTAGCGGGCAGGCACTCGCAGGAGAACGAGTGATCAGGGGGCACTTGCGTGTGGACGGGGTACTTGTCGATGATTCCGACTGTTTTCTTGAAGGCTTCCACGATGAAGATGATAGCGATCAGGGACGCGAAGCTCTCCTCGGTGAAACGCGTTATATAACGAACCAGAGCGCTGAGGTCGAACATGACAACTATTAGTAGTAGAACCGTCGTCCAGATACCAATCCAACATCTCATCGGAAGGAAGTCGAAACCTTTATCCCTACATGTATAAACATATATACATTTATCCACATCTACATATATAAAACAATATATATATATATATTATGTGACGATAATGAGACAAAGTAGAAAAGCTATAAACAATGTGTTTCGCCGAGAGTTCGTCAGCTGATTTTGCTTTCTTCAGATTAGAATGAAAGACAAAACTGTATGTAAGGAAAATATGTTTGGATCTCTGAAGATAAGACGCGGCCTTACATCCAGTTTTGTTTTTAATTCTGGTCTGAAGAAGCCGAAAACAGCAGATGTTTTCTCTATGAAACTCGCCGTCTCTAGCTTTAACTTTTGCTTAATATACATCCTACAAACACACATCCTACAAGCACACATCCTACAAACGCACATCCTACAAGCACACATCCTACAAACACACATCCTACAAACGCACATCCTACAAACGCACATCCTACAAACGCACATCCTACAAACACACATCCTACAAACGCACATACATACATTATAAAATATAACTATATTTCATAATGTTATTTTATTAGCAACTTCTCGTGTGTTATCATTCAGTTTTATCACAATATTCTCGATCGATATAGCCTTTGACTTCTAAAGTATCCAGCGCAAAATCGGAAATGTAGTTTGCCATTTCCTTGAAAGAAGCGGTAAATCAAATTCGTGTTTTGTTGAAAACCATTTCTTTATTTACGATTTTGCACTATTTATTTTAAAGGATGAAGCGAATTGTTCTAAAAAGCAACAATAGCACGAAGAAAGAAACGAGCCTGTACAATTATTGTACAGTCCTAAAAGATGTAGAAAACGTTAGTAGGAGAGTGTGTGGAAGGACAAAAGTGTCGAACGGACTAAGCATCAAACGAACAAAGTGCCGAACGGAAAACAGAATCGAACTGGCTAAATGACGAATGGACATAATATCGAAAAGACAAAAGATGTTAGTAGGTGAGTGTGTGGAAGGACAAAAGTGTCGAACGGACTAAGCATCAAACGAACAAAGTGCTGAACGGAAAACAGAATCGAACTGGCTAAATGACGAATGGACATAATATCGAAAAGACAAAAGTTTCAAAAGGACAAAATGTTGAACAAAGTAAAATAATACATAATTATAATAATTATTATTATAATAATCAAATAATCAATTATGTTATTCTAAACATTTTATTGCTTAGGTTTGATATCATTTAATAAATAATAGTCATAAAAAATAATGAAGCCTCCATCATCATCTGTTCGCGGTTCGATTTGGTGATTGTTTACTGCGGTGTATTTTTTTTACCAAATTGAATAGAGAGTCTTCTCATATATATATTCATTAAGGACTATAAATAGGCGCCTATTGCACAATTCAGTTTATTTACTAAATTCAAATCTACCTTCAAGTGTTAACCGTCAAATCCGTTTGTTACTCCCAGTGATGATTATGATGTCTTAAATTAACTGTATCTTTTATATTACTTTCAAATTTAAAAATAATTATTTATCGGCTGATACTTGCATTCTAAGTAAAAGGTGGTCGATTGTAAGCCAATTCGACCCTATTTCCGTTCGGCACTTTGTCTATTCGACACTGTTCGTTCGATAATTTATCTGTTCAACATTTTGTCTATTCTTTTAATACCTTGTCCTTCGACATTCTGTCAGCGAACCTAGAAATATAGAGATTTTTTATTGGTGCACACAGTCTTACCAACATAAGATACTCAGATAATATTGTTGGCAGTAGCCCAGAAAGTTGATTTAATTGTTTTTATCAGCACTTTATTGGTTATTTAAAGCCGAAGATACAGAAAGGAAATTGTAAAAATTCATACATATGTTACTATTACTATATTGAATTAATCGTGAAAAAAGGAGTAATCGTGAATTGTAAGAAAACAAAGTATTTCATCAGCAAGAGGGACAGACCAGGCTATGACCACCAATCAGGTGCAAAGTTTTAACTATTTGGATAGTACCGTAACAGACGATGGAAAACGTGACACCGAAATCCGATTGTTACAAAGTCTGTCTCCAAACGTAAACATTAACGAACTTAGTGACGAAGAAGCTATAAAAAAAAGAATGATATTATCATTTACTGGATTTTAGAAGATGTAAATATTTTATAAATTTCAACCAAAAGTAACACCGGCTAGTCGGACTATGAATGCCGAATGTTTTTGTTTTTTTTATAAGGCAACGGCTAATATTAGCGTCACCGTAACCATTATCATCCGAAATAAAATAATACCTGCCGCTTCCTTTAATTTCCTCACTTTCCAGCGTTGTTTCCTGTGTACTTTTTGGATTTAATCCTAATGAGGATGATACATGACTAATCTTGAAATTTTCTCATTCTCTATTGATATTCGCTATTACGTGGAATTACGCCAGAGAGTGTTAATGCCAATGAATGTCTATAGGAATTGATAATAAGAGATCTCCCTGCCAATCTATTTTCTCCCTTTCATGTGGCTTTAATCAACACCTAACTACGATACGCGTCGTTTTGACCAAGCCAGCTAAGTTGTTTTCATAACAACCCAACCATAGACAGTCTGTCAATTAAATTATCGATCTTTTGAACAAGATTAGAGGTTTATCCCTCGTGTTCCTGTTTAGGATTGGGTTTCTGATTCCCTCGAACGACTTTTTATTCTCTTTCACTCTCAGTAGGCCTTTGCCTCTTAGTGGCATTATCAACTTGCTTGGGGTGAACTGATTAAAAAAATAGCCTTGTGTTTTTATTTTTCGACTAAGTAAATTATCCTTAATATCTTTCTTAACCTTCAGTCCTAGATTTTAAATAACCAGAAATTCTTTCGGCAAATAATCGGTTGGCGAAACAGAAGAACTATGCTACGGTTATGACAGTGAACGATTTCCCAACTCATGACATTCTTATTGTTCTTCAACCACATTATTCTCTTTATAAGGACGGACTGTAGAAATCTATAGCATAAAATTAGTGCTTACCTGCAGACAGTGTAGAGAATCATTTCCAGCACCAGCATTGGGCCCGTACTACCGAGAATATTGAGCGGCTGTCCAGAAAACAAAGCAAAAAGTACGCCCGTGATAGCCGCTGTCAGTATGCATTCCATTGTACCCTGAGATAAAAGGGAAATAAATAGAAGTATTGAATTAATCATCTAGGATAAGGGATGTTAATCCCAAAGGGGTTTGTAAGGTTATATTATTCATGCACATGAACTCTCAACGACCTTTCTCACTCTCTCTCCCTACCTCTCTTTTCACCCCCATTTCTCTCTCACTATCTATCAATCTCTCTATATATAATTCTGTTTGACACTTTCATTCATCTATCTTCTGTATTCTGCTCCTTGTGCACTCTCTGCACACACACACACACACACACACACACACATATATATATATTTATATATTGCACATATCGTGTTGGTGTTAATATATATAAAAATAAAAAGGAACAGGTATTCTTCCTTTCATAATGAAAAAATTGTTATTCACAACTCGATAAAATTCTTAAATTTTTTTTTCTTACACATATACATAAACAAATCCCGTTTATTTTAAATTCCAAATATAATTTTAAAATGATAAAACTCTAATCACAGGATAATATATATATGTGCCAGCATTACGATAATGACACACACACATACACACATATATAAACACAACTATACTTGAACAAGAAAACAATAAACAAAACCTAAAAATTACTGAAGCTATATACATAAAACAGTTGAAACCTAACCTGAATAAAATAAACTACGAAATCTCCACAAATATTCGTAAATGTCTATAGTTGGTAACAGAAGCCATTGGTTTATACCAACGGCTTCCCATACTTAATACTTCTCATTTTCACTCATGCGTGGTTATGTGTGACGTCACGGCGCGATTTTCGAGTTAGTCGTTGCTTTGAAACAAAAACAGACTATCATTATTGTTTCGTCCGTGTATTGGTTGATATATTGAAAAGCAATTGTCATCTTTGATAATAGCTTATGTAAGCCGAAAGCTTAGATTGGATTTAAATATATATCAGTATGGTGATTTCCTTTCGTCTTTCAATGATAATGTTATTAAGATTATCAGACAATATGAAAGGAATATGAAATAGATAACACTTATCTATATTATTTAATGAAACATGCATTAATATACACACACACACACACACACACACACACACACACACATATATATATATATATATATATATATATGAAAACGTGGAAAAAACTTTCTTGGAATGAATTTGTTATGTTGGTGCTGCTACACGTACGCGCGAACAAGGCATGGTGGGAATTTAATTTTTTTTTTTAATCTAGTCGATTTCATTTAGATTCTTTTTCTTTCCATCACTTTTGTTAGTAGATATCCAAAACTGTGATAATAGAAGTTTTAATAAAATCTAAATAAAAGATTATATGGCCACAAAAGTGGCAATTTACAAAGCAATACATCAAATGTATTGGTTGCCCACCGTAATGAGACTGAATTTTGACATAAAAAATGTTACTCTGTTCAAAGGCGAAAACAATTCCTTACGACGAAAATGTCTATAGAATACCTTTATCGCAAGCTAATCTAGAAAAACAGCAATGAAAATATATTTTATATATATATATATATATATATATATATATATATATATATATATATATATATATAGTACGATGGATAAATTTTCGCCTAAATTACGAAAAAAAAAAATAAAATAACACTGACATATTATTTTAACAGAAAATACACAAAAATATCTTGAAATAGTAAAGAGTAAATATATTCAATAAAATCGGCATTGGCTTCAACCATGTCCTCCAGTCGACTTCGGAATCTCCTGCAACTCTTCTGGACTGTCTCCTTGGTTAAGTTGGTGAATCCCTTGCCTTCAGTTCATCTTTGGAGTTACAAGGAGTTTTGTTGGTCTCTCGCTCAACTGCACCCCACATATAATAATAAAGGGGGTTGAAGTTTGGGGAGTTAGGTGGCCAGATGTAAGGGGTGATGTGGTACTAGAAATTGTCTGACTGCTATGATTGGGTTCTCCTGCTTGTGGGGTACGATGCAGCGTCTTGTTGCCAGACATAGGGTCTTGCAGCAGCCACTCTCTTGTCCCAGGGCAGCGCTACCCCCTCAAAGCACTTGGTGTAAGCCTCCGTGTTAAGATCCTGTGTGAAGATGAATGGAGGCATAAAGTCGCCATCACTAGTGATCACACTAGACATCATGTTGACTGGATTTCTCATCGAACTCATTCCAAATCCTTTCCTCACATTGACACTAAAACACCAAAATCACTCTGAATTTTTTTAATATTTATTTACAGATCTATCTATCTATCTATCTATCTATCTATCTATCTATCTATCTATCTATCTATCTATCAGAGAGTAAAGTAGATAAAGAGAAGGTAAAGATAGATTTTACTTTGAAAAGTAAAAATCGATAGATTTCCTGAACTTCTATACATAGCATTAACAAAGAGAATAGTTCCCTTCATATTTATTACCATATATTGGTCAGTGGCTTGGCCCAGTAAACCACCGAAAGTAACGTTTGGCGTTAACGTGGCTAAATAGAGAAACACAATACTGGCCACGCATTGCAAATGGAGAGCATCTTTGAAATCACTGGCGTACCACTGGGCCTTTCTCCGTATGTCTGCAACCAATCCACCAAACAACCTAGAGGGAAAATAGAAAAGTCGGTTTAGTTATATAATTTTAATGAACTCTTAAGGAATTAACAGAAGTCGTGTGTTGAATCTTTGGAATTAGCAGTGTGGAAATACAACGACTCGATCGGGAAACAGCGTGGCAAAAAAGAAAAGAATTTAATGAGTTCCGAAAGTCGATAAAGAAGAAAAATATAGCAATTAACTGGATGATGTTAAATCTTCTGTTAAAAATATCAAGTTCTATATACATAAGAGAAAGATATCTTTTATCTTCTCACGCGATCAAAACGGAATAACCCATTATTTATTAAATATTAGCAGGAGACATTAAACACATCTTTCTTTCTTTTTATTAAAACCAAGGCGCGTCTCTGATACGTCTTTTGTTTCTACAGGCGATCAAAAAGGAATAGTCCATTAGTTTGAGGTAGTGTAACAGTCGCGCGAACAAGCGAAGGAAGGGCCAACACCATTATTATATGATGATGATTTAAAAAAAAAATTTAAAAGTAATTTCTGCAAAGTAACGACCAACATTTGCTAAATCGTAACTAATGAACAATATTTACACCGTCCAATCAGCCTTAAAATCGAGACAGGAGTAAATGGTTGTGTCATCAGCGTCGATACCACGTTAAGAGCTGATGTCACCTGAAGGTCATTAATGAAAAATAAAAATAATGTAGGGCCAAGGATGGAGCTCTGAGGGAACCCCGCATTAGTACGACAGGATCTAAACGAGTGGCTGTTAGGAATAACTTTCATTTCCCGATTTGACTGGATCAATTAAAAAATGTGTCCGGAGACTTCGTAATTTTTCGCCTTGATTAGAAGCTCTGTATGTCAAACATTGTCTAGAGCTTTCGTTACATCCCGGGCTTCGCCGTTTTTATCTCGAGCACGATATACTGATTCCGCAATTATCGCCAGTGCATCAGCAGTTGACCTGGAGAAACTAAAACCATATTGCATGTCTGAATAAAAGCTTCTGCGATGAAAGATGATGAACCAATACGGCATTGATTATGGCTTCTAGGAGTTTCCCCAAAAAGAGGTAGAAGGCTAATTGGAAGTGTTGGACGGTTCACCAGAGTTCTTAAAAGACTAGATCAACTGGTGATGGCTTCCAGCAACCAGCAAAGCAGGAGGCAGCGAGGCATTTATTATACAGTTTAGAGACAACATGCGCCAGGTCGGGGGCATATTACAGAGATACCATCAGGTTCACATGCTTTGTGGGTATCTAGGTAATAGATGATAGTAGAAAGCATAGAAGGGGTTGTAAGCATATCATTCAACATGGACTCAACTCTAAATGGGAAGTTAGGCAGGGATACTCCAGATGAGCCAAGAGTAGAGTGTAAGGAGATTTTACAGGCGAAGCATTCATTTTTATCGGTAGAGGATGCTAAGACCTCAAATTAATGGAAGAGGGGAAGAATAGAGACTTTACACTTATTTAATACGCCATTACAGAGCCGTCAGTAATCCCGAGAGCCAAAGCTGTACCTCATTCTGACTTAACTCCTTCGAGGTCTCGTTTATATTTATTACGAGCAGCAACGAATAGACAGGAACAGAAAATAGTGGTTCCTGTGAGGTATAGCGACCGAGCATGCTGGTGTGAACCATGCAGAGGATTGAGGTTTCACTTGGTATTTCTGAGAAGGAATGAAAGCATCCACGCTGGCTTTGACCCTCAGTGGCGCAATTATCAATTGGAAAGTTAAAGATATTAGTCCAAGTGCCGTCACGAGGAAAATCAAGTGCAGAAATTTACCTATATTGGAAGTGTTGTAAGAGACGAGGGAAAATAAAGTGCATTGAATAGTGAAATATGCCTTCCAAAAGCTAAACAAAATAGGAAGAAGTAGAAAAATTCTTTTAAAAACAAAGAAAAGAGTGCTGCGATGTTATTTAATATCAGTTGTGCTATATGGCAGTGAATGCTAAACAATTTCCTAACATATGAAGAAGAACTTTGAAACAGCAAAGATATAATTTTCTACAGAAGGATGCTGAGAATACTCTGGAGTTTTAAAGAGAATGTAAGCATAAAAAGGCATTTATACTTCGAATAAGAAAGAGAGAGTTGAAATTTCAAGGAAACATAACGAGGAAAGATTAAGTGAAGAATCTAACACCCACAGAAAATATTGAAGGCAAGATTGATTAACTGATTTGTTTTTACGGTTTATCAACCCTTTGCATTTTATTTAAAGCCAGAATATATGTTTTAGATTGTAAGAATTTTTTTGGTTGGAGATAATATTGGCTTAGTGATACAAGTCTTACTAATTAACCAATAACTGAGGGAGAAGATGTGGATTCATGCCTTTCCAAAGTGTAATTGCGAGGAAATGAATATAACGAACCTGACTGGAAATGGAACTCGGCTCTCCGATTTCCAATTCCGATCCATTAACCATTACATCACCCACATATCTAAGCTTACAGCACATGGTATTCTCAAAGATCACCCATCTAGCTACTGACCAGGCTCGACGTTCCTTAACTTCAGTGATCGTATGGCGTTTCAATGTGATGTGGCCGTAAGCCCTGAAGGCAAGAGGGAAATGGAAAGTACTAACTTGTTTAAATGGATAGCTAAACAGGAAATGGGAGGGATAGCAAAACGGCAAATATTGCAAAGAACTAAGGATAGGAAGTTGTGGAGGGCTATGGTCATCCACGTCCTGTTGGGACAATGTATATAAAAGAAGAAATTGGTTTCTCTTGAAGATCCTTCTTATTGATTAAATCTTAGGGTATAATGGACTGATAAGCCATAGAAGATGATAAACATGCTGAGGTGCATTTTGCCATATTGGGTTGATGTGCTGAGCAATTAACATACCCCAAATGCGCAGCACAATAAGATACGTGACTGTTTATGAAAAAAAAAAATCTTAGAATTCGGATCCGGATACTTAATTAGTACACACCTTGTTATGTAGATACCCGAAATACACTTGAAATATAAGATCACAATTGGGCTGATACTCTAACATCCTTAATAAACGAATATGATAATGGGTACACACGCAGACATAATGGGTACACACGCAGACATAACCGGAACTGCACGATCATTTAACATAGTTTTGATTTTAAATTATGGGATTGCAAAACAGTCTGGTATTTAGCCAGTTGGTTTCAATATTTTAAAAAATAACTTTTCTGTGTCATTTCAAAAATGTATATATAGTTCAATCCTTGCTTCTGGATTCCCCAGAACTTAAATTTTCAAACTGTCATGTTCCGAGTTTTGTAGATATATTATTCACTCATATTTCTATTATCAAACACCCAAGATGAGTGTTGTCTGTGAAAGTCTGTGAAGAACATTTGAAGTTGAACATTTAATTTTATTATTTGTTATTAATGCTTTATCTCTTGATATTGAGCACTTTAATTACGAAGACTGCTTACCTTAAAAACCTTATCCTGCGAAAAGCAATCTTTCTAATATATATATATATATATATATATGAGAAAAACCAAGAAGTATAAAGAAATAATTGCGAATGACCCCCCCCCGCTGAGGAGTAGACGGAGTGATTCCGGAGGATCCGTCTACGAAACTCTGGAATTGAATGCTGATGGTAACATCATTCAGCTGTTATACTTGTATTAATCCTCTCTGTGTCTCTGTCTGTCCCTCTCTCTGTCTCTCTCTCTCTCTCTCTCTCTCTCTCTCTCTCTATATATATATATATATATATATATATATATATATATATATATATATAAAAGTCGACACCGAGGTTGACAGCGAGCGGTAAGGTTCTGTTGAATTTGAACGTCATTTTCAAAGAAGAAACAAACTGTTGCCGCTTGCTGTTGAGCTCAGCGTCGAATTTAAGATTTACATACGCTCTACCCCTGATAGCGAGCACATTTATCCATATATATATATATATAAGTAATAATCCGTTGATATAATCCAAGCGAATCCTCTTAGCGCAATATAGAATTTAAAATTTTAAATATTAAGTATTAAAACTGACTCATAAAGAGCGCTCAATGCTTATTTTCATTAAACAGAGTAAACTGTCTCCATCTATAAACTGATACCATAGAAAAAATCCTGCAAATTTTAAAATTAAAAATTCTTAAATGAAAATGGTCATTAACTAAAGGTATCTTAATTCCAATGGTAAGAAATATATATATGTGTGTGTGTAATTTTGTGTGTGTATGTAATTTTGTGTGTGTGTGTAATTTTGTGTGTGTGTAATTTTGTGTGTGTGTAAAGCTTTGTCGAACAATATCGACAAGATTTGTCCATCTTTTTTAAGTTTTTTAAACTTTCGCATAATTTGTTTTGTACAATTGGTAAACTTTTTTTGTTGTTATTTTTTCAAAACATTTTCGACTGTTACTTTTGTTTTTTGTCTGTTTATGAAACTGTGTTTGGCTAATTGCGTTCCTCCTTTGTGATTTTGATGGCAGCGAAATGAAGATGCTAATAGGATGAACCTAATGTTACCAATACAGTTGGTTGAAATGTACAGCTGAAGTAAAATTCATGTTGCTATTTCTTATAGTTTTATGGTGGTTATTAAACCGAAGAAGGATTCCTGTACCAGTTTCACAGAATTTCCTTCATTATATTCGTTGTATATAATTAAATATATTATATTTGAAGTAAAAATTGGATTAATTATTGTGTGCCAGGTGCGGTAAAAATACGATCGGTGATGATATATTTACAAACTTGGCATTGAGGTTTATTACACGTTACGTTCCCTTAGTGAGTGGGTGGTCTGGATAGACTAGGCGATTTAAGGAGTGATTGTAGATTTGGAGGTTATCACCTGGTATTAAGTGAAATTTAACTCAATATCTATTAATTGTGGGTCATGTTTAAGCCACTGGAAATCATTTTGTAGAAAAAGAGAGAAACCGCAAACGTTTTTGGTTATAATGTGGATTAGTTTTTAATGTATATATTAGATTTTATTCTTCATATTTTTCGGTCTCGTGAACTTTTTCAGGCAAATTAAAAGAATCAGTTTTTAAAGGAATAAAATTTCCTTATGTTTTTTTTAATATTTCATTGTTCACACACACACACACACACACACACACACACACACACACACACACACACACACACACACACACACACACACACACGATACACGATACATGGAGATGGAAATAGAATTGACAGTCTCAGAGGTGATGGAGGGATAGGGGAGGCATCTATCATCAGCACATCTGTCATCGCCATCACTAAGACCAAACCTAATGATTTTATTAACAAGAAAGGCAGAAATTCACTTTTGCCAGCAGTCCAAAAATGAGATCAAGGCTCACTACAAATAGAGGAGATGAACAATGAAACATTAAAAGAATATCAGTTAAATTTATTCCTTTAAAAATTGATTCCTTTAATTTGCTTGAAGAAGATCACGAAACCGGAAACACGTATAGCAAACATATGAAAAATAAAACCTAAAATATACATTAAAACAAATCCACATTGTAACCAAAAACGATTACGGTTTCTCTCTTTTTTAAAATATACATTTTTTTCGTTGAAACAATTATAATATTTTTATATATATATATATATATATATATATATATATATATATATATATATCTATATATATATATATGTGTGTGTGTGTGTGTGTGTGTGTGTGTAGCCTAGTGAGCCAGAACCTACCTACCAAGGTTTTACCTAACGGGTCTTCAAGGTACATTATATATATATATATATATATATATATATATATATATATATATATATATATATATTACGATCATTTCACCCCAATCAAGGTAATAAAGCCACTATGACACTATAAAAAAGGAACTGAACACTGCTAAATAAAATAAGAACTAGACGATATTCCTAGACATGGGTAGACTAAATAATGGGTTCAATTCGGCCCGGGGACACAATGGCCGAAACGTTTTGATAAAAACCAAGATGAGGACAATAGTACGAATATAAATAGTGTAAATAATTACTACACAATTTTAAAATTTTTTCCTCGAAACAAGGTAATAAATCCACTAAGACGTAATGGGTTACTGGGTGTGAAAGACGTAATGGGTTACTGGGTGTGAAAGACGTAATGGGTTACTGGGTGTGAAAGAATATGAGAAAAGGAAATATTAAGCATGGAGAACAATAGAAGAACAGGAATTAAGAATGCAGACGATGACATTTCATTTAAACTTTTGAAAACCAGAGGTAAGATTAGATGATGAGACCTAGCTGCTTAAATGGTACCAAAAGGGAAATCTAATCAAAATAATTACTAGAAAATATTTTATAGAAAAGTCACAGTGAAACTAATTTTATTTTATATAGTAATCAAGATAAGGTGCTCTAATCTTACCTTCCAGTTCTCACCAAAGTTGGATCGCAGTGAGAAGCCTCTTCTTCTTCTTCTTCTTTGTTGGCTTCATTTGGAGGCTTGATTGATTTTCGAGCACCCTGGAGGAAAAAAAAAATTTAAATTAAAAAAAAACATAAGTAGTTGTTTTAGGGAATAATGTCCTTTTTGTCAAAACTGGAGGTTTAAATTCATTTCTGACATTTTTCTGTTGACGAACCAAACGTGAAGCAAAATTTCCTAAATGTGATCTAATGGAAAGTTTTCACCATTTTTAAATCATACATGTACTAATATCTTACTAATGACAACACTAATCGACTCGATTTTCTAGCCATCACCAGATTTTTTTAAATGCACCTCTGCATTGTATTTAAAATATCACTATTCTGCCAGCAACAATTGCATTTTTTCCTTATTTACAATATATTTATAAATCAGTAGCTGTACTTTTCTTATATAATGAAAATTTTGAAAAAATATATGTTGGAAATAAACAATGATTGTATATTAAAATTATTAACAATATTGATTTTAGTAACACGTTTATTGTAGTAAAATTGTTTATTTAAATCATTTACAATGAATTTACATTATACATGCGATAATACTATTCTATCAATTATGCTGATTGGCCACTGATAATCATGCTTTTTATAATTTCCAAAGTATTTTTATAGTGGGCGCATTACTATAGCAAAATTATTTACAGTGTATTTCTATATCAAAATTATTTGTAATTCATTTCTAACATATACCTATAACAAAATCATTTTAAACACATTACTATATTAAAATTATTTGTCATTTGTTGTTACTTAACCACAAATGGTTTCTGGATCCAGTTATCCTGATATATTTTTCGTATTGATGAATTTCTTTATTTAAGTTATTTTCAAATAACTTTGCAATCTTTTAGTAGAATAATTTTTTTGATATATTGCTATAATTTATTTGCAGTGTATTTCTATAGTAAAATTATTAGCAATGCAATTCTATAGCAAGATTATCAGAAATGCATATATATATATATATATATATATATATATATATATATATATATATATACTGTTGACTTATTCTGATTGTGATATTTGCTTTCATTTATTTATATTACAGTTGAGATGAAAGTATTCACCGATAAACCGAAAAAATACAGAAAACCCATCATCAACTATAGACGTTAGATGTCACCTGAGAGGGCACAGCAGCCGGAGGTTCGATTCTGATATTTGGATCCCATTCTCCAGGTGGAAGCACTGTCACTTGATCCAAAAAATTCATCAATACCTGCCAAAAGGTCTTGCCTTCCTCTGGCCTTGTAAGCGACTTCACCAAATACCTAGAACAAGAAATACAAAACACATTTTATATATATATATATATATATATATATATATATATATAGGTGTGTGTGTGTGTGTGTGTGTGTGTGTGTGTGTGTGAACGTGTGTGTGTGTGTATAAAATTTAGATGAGAACCCAATAGAAAGAATACAAGGTCCAAGCCTTGGTGATTATCACCTATTATAACATATTCACTTCCGACATTCGTCATATTTATCATGCAATTAAAATACACTAAAAACGTGACGTCTAGACAGCAAAATTGCTACATACATGTACACACGCATACATACACACTTACATACAGAGTGCACCATAAAATGAATCCGTATCCTCTACACACCCAGCGGATCAAAACAACAGAATTTGAAAATCGAAAAAACTCCGCATTATTCCGCTAACAACATTTCTGCTGAATCTAAATAAATAGCGAAACGTGTTAAATTTATAAAAATCTTTTCTATTTATTTTTTTTTTATTTAACCAGAATTGTAAATATACGAGATATGTGGGAAAACTTTTACTTTGACATTCGCAGGATATGATCTGTGCTTTTTAGAACTATTTTTTGGATCTCCTGGAGATTATGGTGCACCAGAGATTTTGTTAATTGCGTTCTTTTCTTTATCAGACCCAAAGCTCCGACCACAAAAGAAACAGTTTTAAGTACCACCTTTTCTCTATTTCTATTTACAGGTCATTGTATTTGTTTAGTTTTCACAGAGATGTTTTTGTCACTTGGTACTCTTATGTCAATTAGTAAGCAACTTTTATTTTCTGCCTTTGGTAATAATGTCTGGATGATTTGCTTGTATAGTTCAATTTGAGTTGATGAAAAAAATCCCAGTGGGGTGTAGCATCTGTTCCCTCAACTACACATTCAGTATTGATGTTCATACCAGCTTAAAGCTTAAAGCAGTTGTTTCTATTCCGTGGTGATGTCAGATCTTCCAATGCAGATACTGACCTACCCTGTCATGACGTTTTTTGGTACTCATTATGTGTAAGTATTAAGCATTTTGAGATAAGGTGACCAATAGTTTCAACGTATTGATTACAGAACCTACATTTTGGGTCTGTACTAATTTGCATTGGTGTTTGGTAGTTGTGTCAGAACAGACTTGAATCCTGTGAAACAATAATAAACACTTCAGGTTCACTCTTATATTTTGATTGATTGCGAATTGATATCATCATTTTCGCTTCGGAGATGAAACTGGCTCTGTAGAGGTTTTTGGCTTCAGCTTTTTTTCTATTTGCTTTTGGCTAAGTTTTTTCGCTTCTTTCAGTTTTCTTACTCATTTTTCAGGTAGATATTATTTTACAGGACATAAAGTTTTTAGAAGACATCTTCGTTTTGTACGGAGTTAAATTAATGCCTATCGGCATAGATATAGCAGCTCTTAAAATAACATTTCAAGTAATAAAAAAAATGTCAGATTACATCTGTTAATTGCTTAAATTATAGATTCATATGTATATAGATAGATAATGAATATTCCCGTTGTTTTCGACGAAGGAGTGTCTAATAATTCATCTTCTAGAACTGAACAGTCACACTAGGGTATTTAATCCCCACTGAGACGACTTGTGACACAAGGGTCTTTTTTTTTTTAAGGTGGGGACCCGAGCGCGTACACCCGGACCAGGAACGAAAATTGCCCGCAGCCCCCGTAATTGTCGGCTGCACAGGCCTCGCCCTCGGACAGCTGTTCCCCAGTGCTGGGCACCTCTTCAGTATAATTTTCCTCAGTTATGACTCTGTCTTTTGACGGAGTCGCCCCTGAACGCACTCTGCCCAAAGACAGAGACGCAACTGAGAGATGATAAATAAATGGGTTACAAACCACTCGAGAGAGGGGTTTACACACTTATAGTGATTTTCCAAGCGTAACTTAGATGTAGCACAAGGCCGAAATTAGGTGGCACCCAGTGAGGATCGAACTCACTACTCGTAATTGTTCTAGCGAGACAAGCTTGCTAAACATTACACCGCCTCAAAGTGCCCAAAATGTGATTATCTAAGCGCGGCTTAGATGTGGTACAAGGCCAAAAGTATGAGGCACCCGGTGAGGATCGACTTCACTACTTAATAGTAACTGATCTAGCAATAAAAGTTTTTTTTTAACCATTACATCACGTCAAGGTGCCCAAACGTGATTTTCTAAGCGTAGCTTAGATGTGGGACAAAGCCGAAACTATGGGGCACCCAGTGAGGATCGAAATCACTATAAAGTAATAATTGATCTAGCGAAACAAGCTTGCTAAACATTACACTACGTCGAAGTGTCCTAATGATTTTCTAAGCGTAGCTTAGATATGGCACAAGGCCGAAAATATGGGGCACCCAGTGAGGATTGAACTCACAACTCACTCGTAATTGTTGTAGCAAGACAAGCTAGCTAACTATTACACTGCGCCCCTGAACGGTAATACTATTCGCACTCATGATTTGATTTTAGTGGTGATGGCATGTGCAAAACCATCCACTCTTTTCAGAAGATCTGAATGCAGTGCAAACAGTCCTCCTCAGATTTTGAGTTTTCCTTCTTCTAGACTGGTTGCCAACCAATGTTCAACAGCTATGTCTGTCCTACTATTTAACAAAGAATAGTAAATTTCTCAAAGTAACAAAGTTGACTGGAATTCGAACTTGGCTCCCGAATTTCTCATTGGGAGCCGCTATCCATTACACCATCCACTCCTCTCTCTCTCTCTCTCTCTCTCTCTGTATTTGAATCAGCGTGAAAGCCATAATTTCAACTATTGACTTTTTAGGCCCTCTCCACCTAGACTATTAGCGTAGCACAATGTTCCTTCTCAGTTTTCTTCATTTATCCTTCTACCGCACTCAATTAAACTTAGTAGATATTGAACAAAAAAGTCATATCAAATTTCAATATTGTAGAGGGGTGTCAAAAATTTCGACCTGAATTTGGCAATATCATATCGTCAGATAATTTGACAATGACATATGGTCAGTTAATTCGAGTTATCCTCAGAGTAGGATAGTTAGATAATTTGACAATGACATATGGTCAGTTAATTCGAGTTATCCTAAGAGTAGGATAGTCAGATAATTTGACAATGACATATGGTCAGTTAATTCGAGTTATCCTAAGAGTAGGATAGTCAGATAATTTGACAATGACATATGGTCAGTTAATTCGAGTTATCCTAAGAGTAGGATAGTCAGCATATGATCAGCTATTTCTCCAATCCCCACATCGGCCTTGGAGCCATATTTTGTAAATTTTTACTTAATAAATATTGGTAAGTTAAAAAAAAATCACACAGCATTGAATTAACCTCTAAAATCCGGCGGTATCATCTCGTACTGCTGAGTTAGTGACAATGATGCTTCAGCCTCGAAAACATGGCTGACGCCGAGACCATAATTGATGTAGGATTTGTTTGGCACGTCGATCCTTTTTTTTTTCAGCATATGTATAATATCACATAATACTTGAGAAAGGTAGATTTTACAATTAGCAGAAAGAGTGAGAGTGTACAAGCATAGTCAGTAACCAGCGGTAAGAGGAAACAATTTTCCAAATTATCATTTGAAACTTGACCTGAAATAGAACTCGAGCATCTATATTTAGCGTCATTTTCGTTTACTTCATAATGAATCAGATACTTAAACTATTCCGTTATTGAACAGCTGAATGTATCGATCAACATCCTGGACAATCTCCTCACAGATGAAGAAGAGATTTGAGGCAACAGAAATATGGTTCTACAAAAGGATGCTGAGAACACCATAGACTGAACATGTGGGTAACAACAAAATTTTACGGAAAATGAAAACAAAAAGGACAATTATACAATTATATAATCTGAAAGAGACAGCTGAAATTTCTAGGCACAGGATAGATTGTTTAGAGAATATGAAACTCACAGAACTTATTGAAGGCAAAAGGAACAGAGGGAAAACAGCGAATAACCCACGTATCGAGTTTGTGTGAAACGTTGATAGAACAGAAATTACGAGGGATAGCAAAAAGACAAAACTTACTAAGAATTACAAAGAACAAGAACTTATGGAGAGCAATGATCTTCCACGTTCCGAAGGGATACAAACGAAAGATGATGGAACAAGGCCATTTTTCAAAACAGAAAAAAAAAATTCTTCAACGGAAATATCAGCTTTAAACCATTTTTATTACCTCATCAACCATAATTGTAGAAATGGAGCGTCCGATCTCGTAGAGTTTGCTTTGACTCCCCGGGGGTCCCAAGCAGAGGAAAATGAATCGTGTGGGCAGAGGTACTTCAGCCATGTCCATTAGCTTGGCCACTGTTAATCTGATGAATGCAGTGACCTGGTACTTGAGAGTCTCTACTTCACCGACCAGAATGTTGGCGACTTCGGAACCACTAGGCAGTTTCCGCATAAACTGCTCATTTAACTGAAAAATAAAGAAAAAAAAATATTAAATGAAAATGACGAACAATTTATTGAACCCAGATAAACGTCATGCAAAACTGAGTTTGACACAAGGTCTCATTCATAGAGCACCCAATTAGGAAAGTAAGCAAGCAAGACTCGTATGATAAGGTTTCAAATTTTATTGTTGTATAACCTGAATAGGTCTAATCGCTATTAAAATTTATCTATGCTTTATTTATATTTTTAAAACAATTTAATGATTAAAATAACAATTACTTATTTAAAAAATTTCATTTTTTTTTTGTTTTTGGAATATCTTTTCTTTTAGTTTTTATATGCAAGAATCTTGGCCAAACGCTTCAAAAAGTTGGAATTTGGCACCAGAAAGAAAGAAATATTTACGCAAATCAGCCTATTCAAATTTAATCGATTGGTTTGCGAAATTGAACGAAACTTATGATTTGTAAATCTCGACAAAAATGTTAGCGATAACTTCAGCAATACCAAATATTGTGAGCATTTCAACATGCGTCATCTTCTGGCAAAAAAAAAAAAAAAACAAACAAAATTCCAGTATGCAAAATATTTTCAATAAATATAACAATCAACCTGTATATTCCATTAGCCAAAACGTAAATATATTTTATAATAAAATAAATAATGGCTAAATGTACATAGCGTATTCGGTTTATATATTTACCCATTATTAGAAAAATATGCGCCATTAGGACATATTTTTCTAACAAGATTTCTAGAATATTCAGGCCGGTAGTTGTAAATAAATATTGTTTAATAAATAAATGAAAACAGAGCATCTATTCAGATATGAGTATCCACTTAAAATAACGTTTAAACAAATAAATAAAAATTTTTCGAATTTAATTTATATATATATATATATATATATATATATATATATATATATATATATATATATATATATGAATGAGAGAATAATTTACTCATGAAATGGGATGAAAGAGTACTTTATCCTGCCTAGATATCATGTTACATCACGTTAACAATACCCTAAAACATCGTGTCCAGTGCAAATGGACTAATAAAATGATCAAATAAATTCCTATCATCATCATAGCAACATGATAAAATACGGAATAATCATCGGATTTCACTTAAAAGCAATATATATATATATATATATATATATATATATATATATATAATTATTTTTTATAAAAAAATTATAACATAAGTATGTTATAAAATTACTACAAAAATAGCCATTTTGTTTCAACATAATAGGTGCAGTTGTTGGTTATTGGAATTCATTCCGTATATACCAATTATATACTTTGATATATATATATATATATATATATATATATATATATATATATATATATATATATAAATATAGTCTTAAGATGTGCTATATTTATGAGAGCGTGTGTAAATATAAAAGTGAACATAGAAATCAACACTTAGAGGCGACAGTCTGTTTCATGCTAGATGCAATCGTCAGGGCTTGATGAAGGCCAAATTTACTTGCCAAAATATCCATATAAATGTCTCTTTCTCCATTTCTGTGTCAAATTGGCTGTGTGTAGGTGCTCTGCTTTGAGTGAAGACATGGCAACTTCCAAATGTAACTGACAACACATTTTCCTCAAATATTTGTAGTCAGATTCTGTTGTTCCCTTTCACTCCTTCCTCAATAAACATCCATTGTGAGTTTAAACCATCAGAAGTAACAGCAGCCCAATCCATGACACCAGTTGCTTTCTGTTGCTTGAAGTGTGTTCTGACACCTTTGAGAATATTTCCTTATGAAATGGCATAAATCATATTTTGATAGTTGACCACAGCTGCTACAGTGAAAAACTACTTGTTCAACCAAGCAAAACCTTTGTTTGTAGCTTGCTACTTTGCCTCCAACATTTTCTTCCTTCTGCCAAGCTGTTTTTGCTTGGAGGTACTTTATCCTCAAATCCTCTTTGGGAACTTATCCGAAATATCCAGCTCTTCTGCCATCTTCTTTATGCTTCTTCGTCGATTTCTGACCCGATTTCGTCGAGTCACAGAAACCGTCAAGAAAAGATTGAAACCTGTTCAGTGACTTCCCTGATGCAAACTGAAAGATTTCTTGTTTTTGAGTTATTATTCTATAATTTGTGAATCCATTTCACTTTAGAATTTGGATGGTTATATGACAATTTTAACTCCAAAATTTGAGAGTTTAAGACGGGTATCTGTTAATAGTAAAATCATTAGCAGTAAACTTGCTTTACGAAAACCCTTTTTCAATAAATTACTGCATACATAGCCTAATTCAGGCATCTCGACGTTGGTGTAATGGTTAGCAAGCTTGTCTCACTTGAACAATTACGACTGAATAGTGAGTGTGATCCTCACTGGGTATGCTATACTTTCGGCTTGTGCCACTTCTAAGCTACACTTAGAAAATCACCATATGCTCGTTCGATAGTTATACCTGAAGAGTGAGTTCGATCCCCACTGGTACCCTATACATTCGACCTTGTGCCATATTCTAAGCTTCTATGTGATAGCTCAATTCTGTCAGCAACTTTTGTTTTAATTCCGGTTTCTCCTGATTTTCAATGCGTTTCTATAATAAAATTATTTTCAATGCAATTCTATAGTAAGATACTGTAAGAAGGAATTCCAAGAAGAATCTATTTTTTAATCATTTCCCCCAAGCAAGGTAATAAAGTCACTGGGACTCAAGAATGTCAGAGAATATGAGAAAAACTACTAGTAAGGTAAGAGAACAATAAAAATTAAGAATACTGAAGATAATAATTGACATTGCATTTAGATTTTTGAATTTGACCGTGTAGCGAGAAATCAGAAGAACGCGAGATTGAAGTGCGAAAGAAGAAAATATTAGCATAGAACTTACGGTTACATCTAGCCATTTCAAGTATAAAATGATGAAACATTGCAGCCAATCTAGTACTTCGCTTAAATTCATAGAGGAAAGTTCATTAAAATAATTACCATGAAAGTATTTACCTAAAAGGCAGAAAGAAGCTACGTTACGACGGTGGAAAATCGAGATGCCATGTCCGAACCAATAACATTTTAAACAAGAATCTCTGAATATATAGAAGTAGTACCAAACTAGATGTGACAGCAATATTCAAAGTTAAGACGGATGGTAGGACAGTTTCTCTCGTGATAATCTCTCTTACATATTTATCACGAGAGAAACTGTCTAACATGACACAGTGAACCAACTGTTCTAGCTGCACACTTAACAATCGACTTAATATATTTTTTCCACTTCATGTCCACGTAATACGTTAGTCCGAGAAGATGCAATGAGTCACTCCCCTGCTGATGGCATTTAAAAAAGGGTTCTATCAGAAGATGAAAAGAGAATAGTTTCGTTTTGGTGGCGTTTCGTCGGATTTTGTATAGTGAGTCAAGCTGAGAACTTTTAAGCATACACGAGTTTTAAGTTATTTCGTCAGAGTTTCGAAATAATTTTCTATTTATTGTTTCTGTAAGTAGACTATTTTTATTTTTGTTTATTTCTATGGCATTTAGAAGGAAGTTTGTTGCCTCATCATGTTTTTGAGAACCACGATAAAATAGCAGCAGCAGACACATTTTTCTATGTTAATTTGTTTGTTATGTTTTCATCGGTGACAAAGGAAATGCAATAATGACATTGAATCCATTGACTTCAATATTCACAAAGCATGAAAAAAGTGTCCAATGAGAATAATCATTCCAAACTCAACACTTGCCCTGCCGAGAATTCAATTACGCTTCCTAGAACAAACTGCGACCGATAAAAATATAGTTTAGACTTTGGTCTTTCAGAAAGGCAGAGAATATGGAATGTACCACGAAGACCATTGTATCCGAGAGGGTAATTCAAAGAAACTGGTGTAAACAAAGTTTTAGGAAAATTATAGTCTCATAAATCTTATTAATCATCTAATAATATTCCAATTCCTGCATAATGTTAAATCTGTTAATCTGTTTTAGACTGTTGTTAATTCGTAAATTCACAGATCAACAATTCAATTTCTTTCCTTGTATAGAAAATGAATTGAAATATTTCATTATCTTCAAATAATTAGAATTTCTTTATAACCTTTATGAAATGGGTGTCACGATAGGTTTAGCTTCAAAGAAAACCGGAGGAAAATAATATTTTCTAACTAATGATCTTGATGGTTGGTTGGTTGATTTTGTTTAGCACCTTATGTGTTATTTAATGCCTAAATCTAAATATTTCGTACACAATTTTATTTTATTTTAATTAAAGATAATAATGGTTTAGTGGTATAAGTCATACTAATTAACCCATATCTAGAGGAAGAAGAGATGGATTTATGCTTTTGTGTGTAGGTAAATAAAACCAAGACAAATGGAATTGGAACTCGGCACAGCGATTAACAATTTTGAGCCTTGAAACGTTACACAACTCGCACATCCAAGCATTCCCAAGCGGTCACCCATCTAGGTACTGACCCGGTTCAACGTTGCTTAACTTCAGTGACCGTTCGGAAATGGGTGTTGCAAAGTGATATGACCAATAGCCAAATGTTTCTGTGTTATGAACTCATGAATAGAAGATTTATCGAAAAGGTGCTATAAACATTTGCATCGACCTAATTATATATATATATATATATATATATATATATATATATATATATATATATATATATATATATATATATATATATATATATATATGCAGCATTTTTCATTGATGCATGTTTCATTAAATAATATAGACAAGTTTTGTCTACTTTTTTTAAGTAAATTCATTTCATATTGTCTGATAAGCTTAATAACATTATCATTGAAAGATGAAAGAAAAACATCATATTGATACATGTTTTTTTAATCCTATCTAAGCTTTCGACTTACATAAGACATTATCAAAGATGACATTTACATTTCAATATATTAAACAATACACGGACAAAACAATAATGATAGTCTGTTTTTGCTGCATGAAAGATTTCCAAGCAACGACAAAATCGTGTATACGAGACGCGGAAGCGAAAATCGCACCGCAGCTCGTGACGTCACACATGACCACGCGAGAGTGAAAACGAGAAGTGTTAAGTATGGGAAGCCATTGGTATAAACCATTGGCTTCTGTTATCAATTATAGGCATTTAAGAATATTTGTGGAGATTTCATAGTTTATTTTGTTCAGGTTAGGTTTCAACTGTTTTATGTATATAACTTCATGAAGTTTTAGTTTTTGTTTATTGTTTTCATGTTTAAGTATAGTTGTGATTTCAACGAGGATTTTCCGGAATTGTGTATGCGGAGAGCCATGTTGTTTAAATGCGATAAGAAGTACATGCTTCATTCGCTCGAAGCCATTTTCTTTCTCAGCTGCCTTCTGTGTTTGGCTAATTTCGTTTTTAACCATAATGAAAAAAGCCTTTCACATCTGAGTTTTAGGTAATTGCAATAACCTTTTTTTTTTTAAACTGGTAATATGTGTTTATGGTCGTTTTTCATCCAAACGTAGCTGCTGTGGCCTATGTAATTTTTTATTAACTCGAGATGTTCGAACGCTGATTTTTTAGAAAGGCAGGTTTTTGCTGTTCACCTTCTGTCCTTTCGTCGCAGTAAACTAAGATTAGTTAGCATCTTGTCTTTAAGGTAATTTGGCTTTGTCAGTAACCTAATAAATTTGCTTTGTTAGCAACCTAGTTTTTTTCTTTAAGTTAATTTTGCTTTATCAGTAAGCTAGTAATTTCGCTTTGTCAGTAACTTACATTTCCCTAAGGTGATTTTGCTTTAGCAATAACCCAGTAATTTTGCTTTGTCAATGACATAGTGTTTTATCTAAGGGAATGTTGCTTTTTTTCCGTCGGTAAAAAGTCTGTGTGTGTTTTCTTCGTCATCACCACGCGCACTTCACATCAGTGTTGATTTCACACCATTTGCATGGCTGTGCAGATTTCCAGTCATGCCCATCTGCTCAAACCCATTTGCATTTTTTCTCATCCATATGGGCAATCTGTGGTTTACACTGCAACTATGCTGAGAAGATATCAGTTAATGTCCAAATATAGAAACTCCTTGACCACATAGTTTTGAATTAACAGATGTTCTCCTATACATTTGGCCAATCACGAATAGAAGGTCAAGTCTGCTCTGATATCTAATTCATAGCCGTGGGGAGATGTGATAGATTTATACTTTTCGCGCGGGAATTAATTCGAAAAATCTTGAACGGAATTCGAACTCGGCTTGTTAATTTCTCATTCCGAGCTTCTAACCATTTTACCACCTGCACATCCACACATGGGCGTTTTGGGAATATTTTAAATTAAGAATATCGAATGGTAATTTTCTAGTTATACGTTTGAAAGATTCGAGCAAAATTCTTTCTATGATCATTTAGATTTTTGCGATCATAGCTTAAGGTAATTATCAATGAGCAGTTATATGCCACGAAGTAACACCCGTTACCCTAGGAAATCCTATATAGAGAGAATTACTTGGCACCCCAACAATCTGTTAGGATATAGAACTAGACTTCAGACTGATATGCTTCGCCTCTACTCACCTTTGTTTCCACCAATGACCTATGTACGCAAACATGACTACATACAAATCGGAATTATAATCATTAGGTGAATTAATACAAATTTGCCTCAATCTTTTCATAATCGGGTGCCTCAGCGTAGGTAATGGTTAAGTAGGTTAGTTTGGTCAACTTTACTCTTGAGTATTAACACTAATCCCAGTCCTGCTTGAGTGGATCTTGGGCCTTGTACAGGGTGAACATTATTGTAAACTTTACTTACTTTGTACAAAGAAGGTGATTCTGGAAGGGCACCATTTAGCATTTCGATATTTGGGCTACTGTTATTTCCCCTCAAGAAACTTTCTGTTTTTGAATTCAGCAGGTTTGCGTTGGATGGTCCCTCTGAAAGAAACGAAGAAAAAATACATTAATTTTCAACTAAGCGATGCATTTCAATTTTCTTAGCGACTCAGTCCCATTATTTCAGTAGCACAGGTGTTCTCAACCTGGGGAAATTTTATGGTTTCATTTTATGGTTTCATTTTACTTTTTCTTGTTTTTTATTTACAGAATTTTGTTTATGGAATTACAATATATTGGCATTCTATTGAACTTTTTGAATATTAAAGTCTGCTTTAGTTTATTTATTTAATCATTAGTTATGAATTGAAACAAATTACTGTACATGTATTCAAGTTTATAAATCCATAAATATTCAATAATCTTAGGAAGACATCTCTATAAAATTAATCCATATATATATATATATATATATGTATGTACATATATATATATATATATATATATATATATATATATATATATAATGAAACATGCATATATATATATATATATATATATATATATATATATACTAATATGGAAAAAGATGAACATTTTCAATAATATATGGCTATTATTTGGAATGAATATTTTGAGCCGGACAGTATTGGCAAAGAGAGGAATGACACACACACACACGCACACACACACACTGATATATATATATATATATATATATATATATATATATATATATATGAATAAACTCCCTCACTGGAGAGTGATATGCATACATAAAAAGAGATCATATACATAAATTTATTACTTCATACGTTATTTTTAGCGGATACCTGTATTTGAGTAGAACACCACTTTTGTTTCTTCTACCGGTTTGCGCATTCGAGAAAATGTGCACAGTAGCAGGATTTGGATCTGGGTGTTCCTTCTAGGAGGAACCATCATCTGTTCCACTGTGATATAGACCACTCTTCTATTCTGCCCCTTAAAGTCAAGGAGGATTCTATTTGCCGTAAAGCAACATCTATTTGTTTAGATTTTTCTCTGTTCACATTCGAATCCGATAAGTAAACAAAGCAATTTCTAAAGGTTTAATGGATTTTTGTTTTTAATCCGACTTATTTTGATTACTTCAAACGATATTTTTAGTGGATATATCCGTATGCGCAAGCCCATCGACAAAATACTGTTTAACAAAACGGTTCGTTCTACTCAAATATGGATAATCACTAAAAATAACGATTATAGTAATAGAGATATGTAGGGTTAAAACTAAAAATCTATTAGCACTCGCTCATTCACTCATTCATATATATATATATATATATATATATATATATATATATATTCAAATAATAGGAAACAACAGATTTATAATGCAGAGTCCTTTAGCACTATTTTTAAAAAGCAGTGCTCGATACAAAGTATAGCATAATATAATTATTTTTTTTTCTTAACATCGCTTTAAAATAAAACCGGACTATGAATTTTAAATGTAACTTTTAGAGTTAATTTTTAGGATTAAAGTTCTAGTTTCAAAACACAGTAATTTCTGTGTCGCAATGGAGACATAGTTTTAAAAAAATAATTATAACATATATATTATAATTAAGTAATTCATCGAGTCTAGAAGAAACCTCAACAGAATGCATTGGACGGCTGTTTCGTCCTATATTTGGGACTCATCAATGCGTTCGCATCACTACTGAGAATTTGTATTAATCCTATATATATATATATATATATATATATATATATATATATAGACAGGTATCGCATTTTGTTTATGTCGGTAAGAATATATTAAATATTAAATAATGTATTTTATTTATAAATATAACTATTAATATAAAAGTAACCTAGTAATTGTCACCGTCTCATTAATTGGTCGCAGGTAAAAACATAGTTCATACCTGATTTTTATAAATCTATGCTTGATAACAGAACTTTCAGAAACCTATAATTTTACCGGATTCCGTGAAAACGTTTAATTTATTTAAGAATTTTTCAACAGTTTTTATAAATAATACAAGATTTTACAATCGGCATTAATAGGTTAATATGGTTTAAACTATTTAAGTCTATTTTCATATAAAAGAATGTAATTCTTTGTGTATATTCAGTTATTCATTATAATATGGATTTTTTTTTTTTTTTTTCAAATCCAAGAGATTGTCAGATAACAAGCAATTCAGATTAAACTCTTTTTTATAGATTAGTGAAGTTGCTGTCATTTGCTTGTCATTTTATATTACTTCAAGACTAGACCGGCCTTAGGTGATGAAGGTCCAATTGGAAATATGTTTGTTTGAGGGGCGCCAGATAGAAAAGATTAAATACATATTAAAGATTATTACATGCTTTGTTATTTGAACAAATACACAAATATTCGCTGTTATATTCACAGCGTTTCGGTTATTGATCTTCGTCACATGTATAGTATAATTTTAAACAGAAACCATTTATTCATAGGTATAGATTGTTCGAATTACGCTTTCCTTGCTGAAGATAATTTGATATCAGTCTTTTTCTCATTTCCACTGAAAAAACTTTAACCATTATCAAAGCCAGAGATTGAAGTCAAGACTGATAAGGAACCAAGAGGGTAGATTCTGATCTCCTGCTTTCTTTTTGAACGCCATACACAAATATATATATATATATATATATATATATATATATATATGTGTGTGTGTGTGTGTGTGTGTTTTGGAGTTAGTTGCAGTGGAGGCTTGTTTTTGTACTAATTCGGTCCTAAATAGTTCGACGTACAAAACGTTAGGAACAGGTATTACGCAGAGTAATCTTGTTGTGGTCGCTGACTATTTTCGTATTCGACTAACTGTCGACTACTGTCGTCCGACATCGAGTAGTATTTAGTCACCCCACCCACGAGAGTATCATGTGGCACAAGGCCGGTTTAACGTGGGATCTCCGAGTGGGCTCGGCCAAAAATAACCCTTTGAAACCGTATAAACCGGTTCAGGGTCGGTTTACCTCCCCTGAACGATTTCCGCCCTTCGGCGTAGCTTCGTTCGGGTTCCTCCCCGCCCGAAGGCAGAGAGTTCAACCGTTCAGCTGGTCGTCCGACATCGACTATATTTAGTCGTCCCCACGAGGGCGTCGCGTGGCACAAGGCCTTTTTAACGTGGGATTTTGAGCCATTAGGCTCGGGCAAAAAATACCCATTTGAACCCGTATAAACGGGTTCTGGGCCGGTTTTACCTCCCCGAAGGAGACTCCGCCCTTCGGCGTAGCCTCCTTCGGGTTCCTCCCGCCCGTAGGAAGAGAGGTGAACCGAACAGTCGGTCGTCCGACATCGACTGACTCTCGTTTCTCTTACTACTCCTACTTATATTAGGTGGGAGAGTCTATTAACTATAGAATAGGTGTGTTTCACCATAACAATATATGAGTTTCAATGAAGAACCGAAGTCATTTATAAGGGTATTATACGCTGGTAATAAGACTAAGTGATACTTGTTTTAAATCCCAGCGCTTATTGTTGATTTTTTTTTTTCTGGACTTATCAGCTGCTGCATTAAGAAAATGTGTGATAGTTTAAATCTCATTGAAAATATATTCCTGATTTTCAGTTGCTGCTATTTACAAACGATCGTAGAATGATGGTCGGAGATTTTTCGTTTTTGTAATAATTTCATCCCAAGAAAGGCGATAAAGCCACTAAAACGCAATGGGGTTACAGAGAGTGAAAGAAACTGAGAAAACAATATTGAGGAGAAAGGACAATAAAAGAACAGGGTTAAAGGGTGCAGAAGATGACGATTGACGTTGCATTTAAATATTTGAAGATTGTAGTTAACAGAAAAGCAAGAAGCAAGAAGAAATTACTACAGATGAGAAGTCCGAAAGAAGAACCTACGAGAAGAGAAATTGCGGCTGTATTTATCAATTTCAACAATAAGAGCTGCGATTTAAAACAAGTATCAATTAGACTTATTACCTGCGTATAATACCCGGGCCTTATAAATGACTATTATAGACTTCGGTTCTCCGTGGATGTTCTTCACTTGCGACCTTATACAAAACTTAGCAAGCAGAGTGTTGCCCATCGAACTAGTTTCGCAGATCATTATTGTAAACTATTACTTATACAGGGTTCCATCCAGACTGAGCGATGTACACTTATGAATCTGTTTAGTAAGCGTGGTGAATATCAATGACCTTGTGTCAGATTAAGATAAGCTTAGAATATATTTATAGGCTTACGTCGAAAGCTTCCTGAGAACTGCCGACCGATTTCAGAAAAAGTCCGTTTCATGGACTTCCGGAATTTTTGCTGATCGTCTGTCGGAGCAAAACTCTTCTTTCGCTTCATGTGTTGATGGAAATGAGGACGGACAATCATACAACGAATTGTGTCTTTCATGCTTTCTTCCAGAAGTTTCGCATTGACAAGGTTGTCCAATAACAAATCTGCAAAAACAAGACAAAATTTGGTCAATGGATACATGGAAAATACAGATAATATAAACATTTTATTTAAAATCGTTTGAGGTATTTCCACAGATTATTTTACAGGTGGCATTAAACGTACAAACTTACTTCTTATTCTTGTCTTCAATCATAATAAGAGGAAATTAATATATTTAAGTTTATTATAAAATTACTACTTGTCATTGTTGTTTATTTTACACGTTTTCTTTCATATTGTTTCTCTTGCTTATTTACGGCTTGTATAAATAAAATTTATCACGTAAAGAAAACTGGAGAGTACAACGGTCGAAATGTCGTAAATATGATGATAATAAAAATGAGGACAACAGAGCGAATGATGTAAAAAGTACAAATAGTTACAACTCATCTCAGAAATATAAAAAAAATATAGGTTGTTTGAATTTTTAGACAATACATTTTCGTTGTTATTAATTTTTCTTGAATATGTATATATAAACACAAATGAGCATTTAAAAAAAAATCTTCTTCCTTCTTTTGAAGATGGTGTTCTGAATACGATGGTGTTCTAAATACGAAACGATATAAAATTGCACTTCTCGCCAGTGAATATTACTTTCTATCGTTCTTTTATTCAAGACAAGTTTTATTTTCATCCACTTGACGCGTTATTTCTTGTAAACATCAAAGTGGGATTTTTCTTTCTAGACTAAAACACAATATCTCCGGAATTATAAAAACCTGTAAAAACCTGTCCGACATTTCTTGTATTGATCAAATTTATTTCAAAGGAACATAACGCACAATTCATATTTTGATGTCTCTTAGAGAAAACGACAGCGGCTTACATGCAGACAACTTGCCTGACCGTTTTTTTCCGTTCCATAGGTCCTCGAATTCTTCAAAGAAAATTGTTAATGGCGAGTCTTAATAGATCTGTTTAGTATTCTTTATGTACCATGGTATTAATGCTGCTATATATATAAGCTAAACATTTCGCCTTTTCTTCGTCGATGAAAATTCTCCCTTTGTCAGATTTATAAAATGAAGAAAATTCAATATATATGCTGTATACAGTTTTGTAATGACAAGTGACAACAAAAAAATCTAAAACTATTATAAGAAAATAATTGTTCATGCAATAGCTCTTAATACTTATTTCACCCTCAGAACTTAATTTGAATATATTAGAGCAGCTAGATAAAAATAGGTTTTTATTAGTTTCATGTACGAGGGAAAGTAATGCATTCTATTGAGTCGTTTAGAAAATAATGTCCGATTTTAGAATCGATTTATTTCCCGAATTAATGTATTTAAACAGTGTTTAAATCGGTCAAAATAGGAACCCTAATCATCTATACATTTCTATAAATTTCGAGTAACAAGTTTATTTCTACCCTTACGTTAAAACTCCAAAGGCATAGACGCCGAGAAAATTTTGAATGCAGTTTCTGCATCAACGGAATGACTTGGCCTAAATATGATTAAAATCCATGAAAAAAGTGATAGTCAGTGGATGGTTTATCAGGGGAATATGGGGCATGTGGCAAAAATCGTTATCTCAAGTCGATGCGCTCCTACAATACCATACTGGTAATATGTGGACGAGCATTATTATGAAACAGAATTTGACTATATTAAACAGTTGTATTTTGTTTAAATGTGTATTTCATCCAATTACTGGCAGTAAACTTCGGTAGTGATGCTCTAGTTACGTTACCGAAAGCTGTAATTAGCCAATGTTAATCCCCCAGACAATCAGCATAATCTTCTATAGAGGCAATTTCGGTTTTAGAGAGTCTTTGGGTCCTTCATCATGATCAGCCATTGAGCTGATCGTTTACAATTGTCATAAAGGATTTATTTCTCGTTACAATCGATACTAATCGATCAACAAATGGATAATTCGAAGTTTGAAGATTTAGCATTGGACACACTTTAAAATATCGAACTCTTTGACTTTAACTGAGTTCATGTGGAACTCATTTATCGAGTTTTATCATGCAATTTTTGAGATGATCCTATATTGATAAAATGTTGATACCGATTATCTAAAGCATTTTTCTGACACATTGACATGGGTTTGTTCGACTAGTTTTTTCAGATGTTGATTATCAATTGCAAATTGACATCTACTATCGACTTGATCTTCAAGACTCGCATCCCCACTGAAGAATTTCAGAAACCAGCACCGTACTGTCCGAGCACATGTGGATCCTTTATCCCATGACCTGGTAATGTTGGCAATCGTTTGAGAAACATTATAACAAAACTTGTTCTCACGCAGAAAAATGAACGCATCTCTTTTTTTCAGCATATTCAAGATGAGCGGTATATAATGTTCTAAGTTAAATTCTGTAAGACATATATATTATATAAAATTAACAAAGAGGACACTTTAATCACGAGGAATAAGTAATATATTACTTATTACTAATATATTATATATTATGATATATTAGAACAAAAAATGTTTATTCTAAAATTGAACATTATTTCCCTCTGAGCTTAATACTATTTTCCAGTGTAACAACAGGGTGCGTCACGTATTTGAGAATTAAATTCTGAAAGAGATTTATATAAAATTAACGAAGAGGACACTTTAATCATTAGGAATGGGTAATGTATTTTTTTCTTCAACTATTATAATGATATATTATAACGCAAGTAAAAGATTTATTCTAAAATCTGACATTATTTTCCGAGAATAACATTTCTTCTTATTTCTATTGTTTCTAACGGAAATTACAACAAATCGCAATAGCATTGTTGAATGGAGCAAGTTTTCAACTACTGAATACTGTTTTTCTATACTTTCTACCATTGGCTATTGATTTCCGTCAACGAAGAACAAGAGCTTGTCTGTCAGGAATAATGGAGTTGTTCTCAGAAAAAGGTTGCCTTTGTAGTCCATCTTTCATCGGCCCGATCAAAAGTCGCCAAATCCGGACCATATGGTGATACCGTGGGTGTAAATGCCTAGTAAGCGTCGACGAATGTAAATTAGTGCAGTTTTACAGCATGAAGTTTTTCAATAAAACACATTTGTTTCGTACGCAATTTCATGCCAGACGGCCGCTCAGCTGTTATTTATAACAAGGCCATAATATATATATATATATATATATATATATATATATATATATATATATATATTATATATATTATGGCGGGAAGGTTCGACCTCCACAATCATACAACCAACATCCACCTTGACTTTGGGCGCGAATAAAATAAATTAGGATGCATTACTTTCAGAGCGGTACGCATATGATTAAGTGGACTATATATTATCTCTGACTAACAGGACAAAATTACATATATTTGTGGGTTGTTTTATTATAATCTCTACTATTTTTTATGCATGTTTTCTTTTGCTAATAAAGAGTTAATGCGATTATATAATTTCCATTTATGGCCCATGTTAATAAATCGTACCTGTTTTGTACTGATTTGTGATTTTTCTTAACACGTTTATCAAGCGGTAACCGGTATATCAAACGAGCTGACGTTGTAAATTTTCCATCATTTCAATGAGAATTACTGTTTTAGGATGAAAGAACGCATCCTGAATGTGGTATGAGGTAAGTTGTAAGTCGGGTTAGACTTGCCTGGTAAGACGTTGAAACTTTGTCATTGTTCACCTTTTCAACAAAACATTTCATAATCAGTCAAGTATGTTTTCCTTGTGTTAATATTACCGAGAACTCTTTTTTTTTCGTTTAAAATTACTCAGCTGAATTAGGTCATGAATCGTGATATGAAGTTGCTTTTTTAGATTGCAACATTTTTAAAACACCCTTACCAAAGGCCTTCAGTTACAAATACAAAAAAAAACAGTTGTAATAAAAAAAATTTCTTCTTTTAACTTGCTGTCATAATAGTAATAGTGTTAAACTGGCAGAATTTCGTTGATGAAGCATAGTTATAATTATTAATTTAGTATTAGTTTTTCATCTTCTTTCTTTCTCTTGCATTTTTATACCTAGTAGTAATAAGAGGTAATAGTCTTAAGTTGTCTGCATTCTTTAGATGAAGCATTGTCATATTATTACTTTTTTTATTCATCTTTCATTTTTTGTTGTTTTTATCACAATTCTCAGAGGATGTTTCAACAAGATTTGAACTTACTTCCCTTATCATTCAATGTAATAATTTTATGATATCTGAATTTTGTAGATGAAACATTGCACAATTATTAAGTTTTGACTAGTCTTTATTTTACTTTTTTTCCGCTACTTATTTACATCTATAAGTAGTAATGTATAATTGTCACAAGTTGATCTTATTTTAAAGATGAAATATTTACCATAGGAATTTTGATTAGTGCTATTTTCATATTATTTGTTTTGAATATTTATTCTTGGTAGTACTAAAATGTAATAGTTAAATAGTTCTCTGGATTACTTAGATGTAATAAAGTTAAAATTTTTTGTCTAGTCACTTTTTCTTCTTAAATCAGTTGCTTATTTATACATAATAGTAATAAGAGAATTTTAAATTGTTCGAATTTCTCAGATTGAATAATTTTCATTACTATTAATTTTTGTCTACTTTATATTCACATTGCTTTTTATCACGACCCTACTCATATTTTTATATAAATAATAGTAAAAATGAATTGCAGAGTTCTCTGATCTTCTAAGTGTAGCTTAGATATGGCACAATGCCGAAGGTATGGGACACCCAGTAAGGATCAAACTCACTATTCAGCTGGAATTGAATCAACAAGAGAAGCTAGCTAACCATTACACCACGTCGAAATGCCCAAATTGCAGAGTTCTAGGTATGTAGAATGAGTATTTTTTAAATTTAGTAACCAGCATGTAGTCCAAGTCCGATGGGATTGCTGTGATACAGAATCGAATCCAACTCTCATCAGAGGTTCCTTATATTTCGATCCATGTTGCAAGAGTCGTAAAAATAATAAAAAAAAACGTTGTGACAAAAAGCAGCAATAGTAAGAAAAATTAAAAAAATTATTCTGTCGCTAACATCGCCGTAGAGCGACTGTTTCAGTAATAATAATCGTTAAATGTATAAACTTGATATATAAACTTTCATTGTCGTAGTTTGTCATGTTTCAGTTCTACCAGCGATCGAAGGATGCTAGAGAATGACTGGCAGCCGTGTTGACTTTTCTCTTTGAAGCCCTCAAGGACACGAAAGGAAATATCCACTGGACAAAGGGTTTGCTTGTATTGTCTAACAAGTAGGACGCTGGTTGGACATTACATAATCGTAGTTTTTTTTTTTTTTTGGTGTGGGGGTCCTTCTCCTAGGGAAGTGGACTTAGATAGCATTGTTTGATTATTATTATACTAGGTTAGACTCTCGCTTGATGCCTTACACTTATGAACGACATCGAATTATAAAAAAAAAATAACAGAGTTGATTCAATGTGGAAATATTTTTTATAATCCATTTGTCAAACGACCAACACGACTCAACAAATGTATTAAAATCATTACTATCCAATCAGATTATATATATATATATATATATATATATATATATATATATATATATATATATATATATATATATATATATATGATCACTTAACGTAACGTGAAACTGACAGTTACTATGGAATACTGACTTTTATTTCACAAACTTTATGTCTAAAAAACGCTGTCCTCGATATGTTGGGCATAATTTCCTAATAAATATAGCACCTTTCGACAAACACACACACACACACAAACACACACACACACACACACACACACAAAAACACACACACACACACATATATATATATGTATATATATATATATATATATATTTCAATAAGTTTTATTAAATTCAACCGATAAGGACTGTTTCGTTTAATTTTTTTTATTGTATTCTTCAGTTCGTGTTTTTGTTCAAGTACATTCGACCGTCTCACTGATTATAAAGAGCGCAAAATGTCGACATCGTGCATAAATGTCTTTGTTTTGTTTTGGAACGCTACAATTCAAATTTAAGTATACGATTATCGTATAAGTGACTTTATTTATAACTCGTTTTAACAGAACTTGATAACACCAAAGAACTTGATATCAGATATTTTATTAATATATTATGCACATTTTCATTTATGTGTTGTGTGGGCGATCAGGGATCACTGCATTTTATTGCACTAAGTTTTAACTCTTCACTATCTCTCTTTGTTCTTGTTCTGCCATCCATTCACACAAACACGTTAAGTCAATAGCCGCTCCCGGCATCTCTTGCCGCCAATATATCCCGTGCGTATTAGGTTCTCCAAGCACTCTTTCCTCATTATGTGACACAAAAATATTTTACAAATATTTTAAAAACCACAATATGTGATTGAAGATTTTTTTTTTATTGAAAGCGGATTTTTATTTTATATAATAATTGCATCCATAGTTTATCTATAATTTTGATCCAGATGTGCAATAACTAATTCGAAAATTGGAAAATACAATAAGAAATGTAAACAAACTTTTCCTGTTGAATATAGTAAAACTTTTAAAAGTGATTTCGTGATGCCTAAATAGGCATTCCCCCCTATATATATATATATATATATATATATATATATATATATATATATATATATATATATATATATATATACACAGTCTGCCAAAAAATGTACACACACAGCAGGAAAAGAACAACGTCTCTCTCATAGTTTTATCAAATTACGATAATACTGTTTACTGCAATATGAATTTTTTTCCCCACAGATGGCACTACCCTCTTGGTTGTAGCATCAACAAGTTCTAAAGGATGTTGTGTATCTCAGAAAACCGAATAAATTGGTGGCCCTTAGACAAGAAATTGAAAATAATCCTACAGAACACTCTGGCCAACATTGCCCAAGCAGTAGTTCGCCGTACTAATAAATGCCTGGAAGCTAAAGGCCGCCTTTTTGAGCATCTCTTGTGAATGTAGAGTCCAAAGTAACTTGTATTAAACTCGTGATGCCTGAATAAATTTAGTATTACAATATCTATACAAGTTTTTCCTTTCCTGAAATGTGTATACATTTTTGGGCGAACTCTGGGTGTTTTTAATATAACGAACAATGGAAATTTTATAAGATTTTATAAAATTTTTCCAATGTTCTTACAGCTTTTTGTTAAAACATTAGAAAAACTATGCAAGATTCAAGAATATATATATATATATATATATATATATATATATATATATATGTATACTTTATTACAGATACTACATTCGTATACATTTGTGTATATATATATATATATATATATATATAGCTTACGGCCATACCACATAGAAACACCGGTTTTCCTCTAATCATTGAAGGTAAGGAACGTTGATCTTTTCAGTACTTAGATGGGTGACCACTTGGGAATACCAAGCAAGTGCTGTAAGCTTGGGGATGTGTGGGTAACCTAATGGATAGCGGTTCTGAGTGCCGAGTTCGAATTCCTGTTGCGTTTGTTATATTTACTTAAGCGCAAATACCCTTCAAAACGGCATGAATGCACCAAAAAATAAAAAGCCACAACAAAAAAGTAACAACCTGCAAGAATGCAAACAAGGAACCTCAATGCAACTGCAGAAATAAAACAACATGTCTACTCCAAGGAAATTGCCAACAAACGAATATAATATATAAAACCAAGGTAAGTGCAAACAATAGCACAATGTACTACATTTTTGCCACTGACGGACCATTCAAGAAAAGAAAAACAAACACAACCATTCACTCTCCAACAGAAAATACTCAAACAGCACTACACTATCCACATACATATGGCATCTAAAAGACATAACTATTACACCAAGAATAAGCTGGAAAATATTGAAAAAGCACTTGCCTACAACAACATTACAAAGAAATGTCTACTTTGCCTACACGAAAAGATAGCAATACTTTCTTATACCCAACAAAAGAATTTACTAAACATAAGATCAGAAACAATTTCTAAATGCAGACATGAAAACAAATACCTATTATCAGAATTTATACCAAACGGACAAAAAGAAATACCAACCAACACTACTACATAAACCACCATTGACCCTATAAACATGAAAAGAGAAACTACCAATTATTTTCTAGTTGAAACTACCATTATAATAATTATAATTAGTGTTATTATCATTCCACCACCATTAATACAATCACTTCTACCACTTTACAATAACTATTTGCTACTACAATTATTATCATCATCACCCGTTCCCCACACCATTACTATCATATCACAATTACCATTGCCGTATTAGCCCACAATTACTACGGCACCACAATTACCATTACTGTATCAGTCCACAATTGTACTTACTTCTCACTCTCCCAGCAAAATTAATACCACCGTATAAATACTAATAAGTACTACAAATTGGAGTTTCTACCATTTATATATGCGCAATCGCCAAAAACAAGCAAATAACCGACTTTAAAATAATAACAAGACAACCTTAAAAAATTAAAAATAATAGCAATTTTTACCTATCATAGTCTTACACAAACCCCATCATAGGTATATACGTGCGTGCGAGAAAACATTATTCAGCGAAAAAAATACAAAAACGGCCTGCGCGTTGACAGTGAAACAAACAAAAAATATTCGCTACACAATCCAAAATTGAATACAGCGACCAAATGCGTACGTATGTATGCAACGATATGCATTTATGCTCAGTCCCACACTGTTCACTTATGTTTATGTTTGTGTGAGCTCCAGTGTGTGTGTGTGTGTGTGTGTGTGTGTGTGTGTGTGTGTGTGTGTCTGCGTACGTCAATGAGTGTACCTGTGTGTATGTATGTTTGCGTAAGTATGACTGGCGTTCCGACGACTATTTTTCCTCCCACTTCCATAAAAAAAAACGATATACGCAACCATATATAAATCCAAAATTTTAAAATTAATCAGTTTGTCTGACGATCGCAAATAGCGTGAAACCCAGGGTCACAAACTAACATCAATCCAAATATATATATATATATATATATATATATATATATATATATATATATATATATTTGAAGTACTTTTTTAAAAATAATTATGCATGATCATTATCAAACTGACGCTGCAAGTTTCTCGCTCCCCTATTGCTATTTCCATAGTAAATATTCTAACGATCTACATTCCTTAGAAACAAGGCACCTCAACGTAGAGTAACACTAAGCAGGCCTCTCTCGCTAGAATAATTACAACTGAGACATGAGTTGGATCCTCCCTGGGTGCTCTATACTTTTGGCCTTGTACCACATCTGAGCTATGTTTAGTTTCCTTAGTTCCACCAGTTCTGAGTATCGCAGCTAAGCGAATTATTCTCATCCTCCCTTTGTATTCCATTAGATTCTTCCCAAGAACTGCTACTTTGTGGAATAGACTCCCGACAGGATGTTTTCCCGATCACCTAAAACCTAAACCTCTTCTAGTCTAGGGTTAACAGTTATATTTCCTACATATCCTCAAACTGCATTTCTTACTCCCTCCTCTTACATTCATACAATAACCTCCTTCATTAACCCCCTAACTTGAGTGTCTCTTGGGCCTTGTATTGGGGGAGGATTTGTAAAAAAAAAAGAAGGAAAATTGAAGTTTTTCAAGCGTAATGATCCAATTGGTTTATAGGCATTTTCTTAGCTTAAACTAATCCCATAAAAGGTTACAGTAGTGACACTCGAAATGCTCGAGCAAGATAACTTTATGAACTTTTGTTCGACAGCACCAAATTTGTAGTGGAATTTTGGGAAGAACTGTCTCAGGTGGAATGGAGGACTTGGATGATCACGCCCAATGTATGAATCAAATAATAGAAATAGATATGTACCTATGGCTTGAGCCATGTTGTGGGCGTCCATGTCCAACATGACTGCACCGGACAGGAGACTGCTTCGAAGCTCAAAGAGAGAGTGCAAAGACAATGAGGCAACGTGAGGTTTTGACCAGCGTTCACCACCTTCCTCGACATCTTCTTCATACTTGACCCATCTGATAGAAAAAAAAAGAATTTAATTAAAGTTTTACTCTGACAAATATAGGTAAATGATAATATTTCAGAACAAAATTGGGGAATTTTGTTCATATTTCAAAGATTTTTCGAATCAACTCAAAACAGCAAAACTGGAAATTAAAAAATTTGAAGAAAACCAACAAATTAAAATATAATTTTCTAAACTCTTCCTACACGACGGTCATTATTCTTCCTTTTACCGAAAAAAGAGTAAAGGCATGAAAATTAATGATGCAAAGCCCAATTACCATAAAGATAATTGCCCAGAAGTTCAGAATGAAATATGTTTTGTCTGATGTTCAATAACTAAAATCTTTTGCATTATAAAGAATTTGCTGTTCATAGATTTAAAAAAAAAACATTGGCAAATATGTTGCTCTGTATTCATTGACGGCGGGGCCTAATGTATAAGGTGTCTCTCTTTGAATCAGAATATTGCGAGTTCGTATCTCGTCGCTTTCAGTTTTGTTAGTGAACTAATTCTTATTAAAGGCTGACCCTTTTCCACGTTATCCAGCTTATTTCCTAATGAGAGGAACGGTCATTGTTGCAAATATGTCGAATGATAGACTCTTTATGTCAAATGTATAGAAATTAAGATATTTGTAACAATATTTTGACAGTAATGCTTGTGTGAATTCCGGACTTCCAATATATTTCTATTCTAAAATCATTTACACATATTTTTTTTATAGTTAACCCATTATGCAATAATAGTTCAAATATGTAAGTAATGTTTATCTTAATTCCTCATCATCAAAAATGACTTTCTTTCTGGTTTCAATTTATTTTTATGCTATGTCCTTTCGGCACATAGGCGATCATAACCTCTCAACGATCCCTTTTCATTAAGGTCTTTGGATTGACAGACATTTTTCATTGGTTTCTTCACGGTTTCAAAATTCAACGTTCTCTTTGACTGATAACAACGCAAGGCTTAAGAGCCTAATCTAACCTGCTATTTAATACGCCGCTGGAAAGAGAAGCAATGGATCTATGTCTTTTCCGAGAGGGTTGGTGCGAAAGTGAATGCAGAAAACTAGACCCGAATTTGAACATTGCTCGCCCATTCTACTTTTCGTTACAATACTCGCACTGTTAGAGTGAAACGATTTACAGTCTACAGGATATCTTAAAAGTGTATACAGACTTTTAAAGTGTATAGCTCAGATCAACTTGCTTTTTTATTTTTACACTTTAGTAATACTAATGTCATCCAGGCTTGGCTTAGGACAATCTCTTGAAATGCTATTGGAAATACCAAAATTCGGTTTAAGTTCAAAGGTTGTATCGAAGAGAGTTTAATTCAGATCCACCCACGTGGCTTATAATTTCCCGTATTAGAGATAAGTTTGAAGCTAATGGGACTGTACACGATGTTCAGAAGAACCGTTCCATAGGACCACGGATATTGACCACGCCCTGTGAGGAAAAAATGATGAGGGTAAGTTTACACAGAAGTCCAATAATCCTATCGAAATGTTTATTGCTTTTTGGGATTCTAGTGGGTCGCGTTGTAAGCAATATAACGGACATCATTTTGAAGACATGAGATGACAAAATCTTTTACGACCATACTTTTATAACAAATATTGTCTTCGTAGGCATTATTTAAATTAGATATAATTGATTCTGTTTGCTTGAATTATTTCTAGAGAAAGCTTCAATATGTGCATACTTTTTTTTGAAACGCCCTGTATTCCTATATTAACTATACTTGCAATATATTTCTGTATTGATGTATTTCTGTATTAGATTATGATAAGATAATTTAATATAAATATAATAATATTTATATTAAATTATAATATCATAGGGTTCGTGAACACCTAGTCATTGAGTATATTGAGATAGTGTGTAATGTAACAAAAACAAAGTGTAAATAAAATAAATACACAGATAATTGATAAAGATAAGCATCTACATATATAACATGTCAAGTAAATTTGCGTTTTTGAATGTAATCTTTAGCTTTACTGGAATTATCTCCTTTGTACTAGCGACGCCTGTTTTTATTGTCTTTGCTATGACAATGGTGAACTTCTCCAATATGTCTACGAACCAGGAAGTGATAAGACCGACTCTGTAAAATTAATTATTGGAAAAATATTTTTAAAACTCACATGTTAAAACCTAATAATAATAAGAACTTGACAAAATATGCAACCTTTTTTGATGACACCAGTAAATTAATTATAAAATAAGCGAATAGTCTAATATGCATAAGTTTGTAAATTATTTTCCAAACGTCATATCCATTAAGGACATAAGCGATCATGCTTCTCCATAGATTCTTTTTCTTTATTATCTCAGAATTGCCATGACTTATTAGGAAAGATAAGGGAGTGATATCCCGCTGCCTTCTCCACGGTTTTAAATTCTGAGTTGTCCTTTTTTTTTTCTTCTTTCTTTATATGCCTTGTCCCATCAGGACATAGGCGATCATGGCTCTCCACAACTTGTAGCTCTTAATAAACGTTTTCTTTCTGTTATCTTTCCTAAACCCAGGTTCCGCCGTCCATTTACACAAGCTCACTGTATTATGCATTGTTTTTCTCTGTCCTTATTACCCTCTATTTGCCCTGTGAGTATCAGATTTTCCAAGCTCTCTTCATTATGTGCACCATAAATTTCAACTGTCTTTTCCTGATGTTAAGTATTAGTTTCCTTTTTGTTTCCATTTTCTCCCAAATTTCGTTGTTGCCCACATGTTCGGTCCACGGTATCCTCAGCATCCATCTGTAGAACCACATCTTTCAGGAGATCGTCCAGCACTCACTCTCATACAGGAGGACTGATATCACGTAGCAGTTTAGAACTCTTTTTCCTTGTTTACCCATAGGTAAAATGAGAAGGGATGGATTCACGCTTTTACAAAAGTATCAGGGCAAAATATTCCGATTCCATTTCCCCTGCCAATAACATTTTTATATATAAATGTATTCCCAAAGCACATAGAATTTTTTTTTCTAAATTTGAAATTCCCAGTGTCTCTTGTTCGTGTGCATGTGTAGTCGCATCAATTTAAACAAACCCAGTCTGACGAAGTCCTAGGGGACGAAACACGTGACACGAAAACTTTTTTTCCACTTTGTCATACATCTTTCCTCCAAAATTGATTTTGATATATAAAAATATATATATCGTTATCCTATATGTAAATGCTAAAATTATTTTTAACATTTTCTTTTTTTTTTTTCAAACATATAGTGAGTATTAACAGGGTGGCTTTAAATATAGGATCAATCTACTGCAAAAATGATCACTTCCTTGTCCGATTCCAGAAAGTACCAACGTCATCCTGCTTTGTCCTATCTTTATGGGAGTCAAATCAGTCCGAAAATGGAGTACTGCTAGCACATCTGGGTTGGATCCACCCAATTATCTCTTTCCAACTTTGGGTTCGAAAGCGACTTACGCGGCCTGCGAATTATTTCCCACCATGCAACCGCTTAACAACAGAACGATCGCCGCAAACCTATTGCTCCGTAATCACTATTGCCATGGCAAATAATCAGACGTGCTACATCCTTTAATTCGATCAGTTCAGACATATATATCTAGGACCCCACTTGGCACGTACACAGGTTCGAATCATCCTCATTCCCTTCGTATTCCAATGGTTGGAAGAAATTTCAACTGAGACGGATTCTTCCCGAGAACCGTTACTTTGTGGAGCAGACTCCTGAGATGATGTTTACCCCGATTACTATAATTCTAAAATCTCCAGGTCTAGCTCCAATAATTGCAATCCTACATATCCTCATAATCTGTACATACTTCCTGTGTACATCACATGGACGTAACTACGATGAAGCAGAAGTAAATTCTCGAGGCTTATGTTATGTTTGTCAAAGATATCGTCATGTTATTCCACTTCTTACTGCAAATCCCGAGGGTCAAGCCACCGTCTAGTAGACACAATCGCTAAGCCTTAGACTAAAGTCTGCCCCTTCCCACAAGGCTCATGTGACACAGGAATGGCTGGCGGAGAATTTTCACGACTATGTCACTCCTAACATGTGAGCCCTTATCTTTTCTGATTCGAGTCTCCCGGAGTATTATGCTCGGGGCGTCGTCGAGGGGAAGACGATGACCAGTATGAACAAGAAACACCTGATGAAATAAAACATTCATTTCCGAAGCTATAACCATGGCTAGGGAAGTTTTTTTGTGTAATTTTTTGTCTAAGTTTGATATACACAAAAAGTAAAAAGTATACTGAATTTTGCTATAAAACATCGTTTTCTCTCTTTAAATTATAATTTGTTTTCCATTATCCGGTGATTTATTTTATCTCGTACTCTCTCTCGCTCTTTCTCTCTCTATATATATTATGCGTGTGTGAACGTATTTATATATATATATATTATGTGTGTGTGAATGTATATATATATATATATATATATGTGTGTGTGTGTGTGTGTGTGTGCATGTGTGTGTGTGTGCGTGTGTGTGTGTATTTCTAAAGAAATAATGAGTTTATTTTGAATCCGATATTTTTTACTACTCCCAAGGTTATTTTAGTGGATAATCCGTGTTTGTAATAAACGCCTCCTATATATATATATATATATATATATATATATATATATATATATATATATATATATATATATATATATATATATATATATTATTACTTCAAACATTATTATAGTTATTATTCAAATATATTATAGAAATGATTTCCCTGGCAGGAAGACACAAGTTTGATTTTTGAAGGTGGATAACATTTTCTTTACTAATGACTGAATCCTCGGGGACGCAGTTTAATAATTAAAAATCGGCTGTCAGTTTCATATACGAAGTATCCACTATAAAAACGTTTGAAGTAATATATATATATATAAAGAAAATCATATTGAGAGTAAAAAATTCTCTTCGATACGGTGGTGCTATCTATTTACAGTGACTTTATCTTTAGAATGATCCCCACCTGACCACATGGACCAGCTACAGACACTAGAACAGTAAT